TATTTCATTTATTGGCAATTGTTACTGTACCTCCTTTTCGTAATAGCATTCAACAGCGAAATGAATTCCAAAGCTTACTAAACGCAACAGCTACACAACAATCCCAAGAAATAATCCCCATACATAAAAAACAAATATTAATGAATTTGAATTTAGTGCCATCATGATAGTCACGCGTGTCCACACACTACAACAAATCAAAATTAACTTTCCGCCAATACACATCTGCATGTGTACATAAAATATCAGCGATCTTTTGTTGATTTGCTTTTGAATTTATCACACACCACTTCGTGTTTGGATCGGTTTTAGTATTTCTCTCTGCTTGCCTACGTATTTATTCACAGGGCTTATTAACGCGACTCACAAGCTTATAAAATAACCGATCACTCATACCACACGTCTGTCGCCTGCATTTCCTTACGACGGGCCATCGCTCGCCACTGCTACTATTCTACTATATGCACTTATGATACACACATTTACAAAAATCATTTACAGCCGACGCTCATACACACACAAAATTTGCGAATTTGGAAACTTGTGTGCAGTCAGGCGTACGTGTGTTACATGTGCATGTATTTGCTAAATACGTACACATACACGGGCATATGAGTTTATGGGTGTACGAGCACAGCGTAACCAGCTGTAGACCAAGACTGCGTTGTCAGGCGAAATTTCATAAAAGTCAGACGCACGCAACATATGATTTCAGTCTTTTGAGTTGGGTCGTGTTGTCGCGCTTGTTAGCTGGCGACGAATATAAAGACAGCAATAGAACCAAAATCAATTGAGTCAAGAAACATAGACTTTAAATAAGTTTAAGAGGACTGACAAAGTTAAGATACTGTTCATCCAAAATATCAGTAATGTTTAATATTTGTGCAATCGAACGATGGTGAATTAAGAAAAGAACTGTTTTTTACGAAAGTCGTTTTTGATATTTGTGTTGGTTATAAAAATATCTTGTCATAAGCGAAAATTTCGTGTCAACAACGTAAACGCTGCAGTTAATAAACAAAACAAAAAAACATCAAAAGTGTAACGATTCATATCAATTTTGAAATCCAAACTCGTAATTGTGAGTACCAATTCGTACATAACAGAGCAAGTATTTTGTTATATAAAGCGTAGATAGTTTATATGTAAAAGGCTAACAATCATAAATGACTGATGACATTAAGTAAACTAAAACTAAAAATAATACAAAGAAATATACATTATTATAGACACACAGTTTTAAGCACCTCAATCTCCGCGAATTCTATGAACACAAATGAATGCATATGTATGTACATATGTGGCTTTGAACGCGCTGAACTGGTATTCAGTTCTAAATGGAAACGAGTGAATAATACCCATGCAATATGTGAGAGTACTACTTGTAGTTACATATGAATGACCAAATGCGTAACAGTTTGAGTCATTAAACATTTAAGTGCGGACATATTGTGAAGAAGTATGTAATTCGCTCCTAAAGCAGGGTTAAAATGGCACTACAGTGCATGTTCGATGGATTTAACAAAGTGATCAATTTTCTAGTTCCCGAGCCGCTAAAATATTCACATTTTTCAATTTCCAAACCTACTCCTTCCAACCCCACATAACATATTATATGTATAAACATATAAGGAAACTCAACACAGCTTTGTTTGCTCTGAATTTCGAGGCAACGTCTAAGGATGTAATCTAAATTATAGTACATAAAAAATCAAAGGAGTCTCTATTATTGTGTTAAGTGACTACATACATTTCATTCATTAACTTAACTTTGTTTAATAACTATACATACATAAATATGTTATTTTTTGCTGATGACGAAAATTACTTTTAGCATGACGGTTGTCATTGACGTCAAGTAAATATGCAAACATTAAATAAAGTGCAGAGACAGTATATAAACAGCAACTGCAAATTTCCAGTTGAGAAACCTTGCATCATTCCGCATGCAACAAAAGTAAAAACTGTGCAAGCTTATTGAAATAATCAAACGATTGTGTGGTTTCCATTTGTACATATGCATATAAATATAACTGAAATTTTAAACAGAAATTCGCTCGGAGCGAGAGAGCAACAAAATATATGAGAATGCTTTTTGTGTTGAAACTGGTCCATTAAACTTTTTACAGTTTTGTTTACCAAATTTTTGATATTAATATCAAAGATGAAGATGAATATCAAAGTTGATGGAGCCATCTATATGAGCTCTACGGCCACATTTTAATAAATTTGCAAACTCTTGGTTGGGGTAGATAGTCTCGCAGTTGTTCTACCACTTTTGGAACTCTTTTTGGTTAGTTCTGATAAAATCTGGTCACTTCTGGTGTACTGAGGAATATAAGCAGTACTTATTATCATTGCTATGGCCCGGGTTGGACCATAAATACTATATATGTACTAGAGTTTTGCGTAAATGCACGGTTCTCCTGGACGTATCTCGGAAAGCCTCCAAATTCAAAATTTAAAAATGCTTTTTGTTGTTGATTGCAAGCGTTTTTTTTTTATTATGTATAAGAAATTCACTGATAGCTTTAGCATAATCCGCCAAGTGACTTTGACAAATTTAAAAACTTTCTACCGATTTTATCGTGGTATATACGTACATACAATACATATATTCTTACATATATAATATTAGCGTATGTGAGATGCACATTAACAACAACGTTTCAAGTGAAAACCATACCTAGTTTTGTAAAATCGTACCGCATTTTACCAGATTTGTTGAGTACGCGACTATGGCGAGTAAGTAATTAACAAGTCTGCTGCTGGAATAACCGACGGTTAGTTGTTACAAATATGTGCATATGCATGAATGCATATTAATCTATTTTTTTATGTAATATTTGTCGCGTAAAAAATTAAAATGGCCGAACCTTGCTTTTTGTCTCATTACTATCTATGTACATATACATGTACATATGTATATCTTCACAGCTACACTATATTCAAATATTGAAGATCAATACCGCGATTCGCCACAATTCAAAGGAATGTAAATACATACATACAAATGTATATGATTTCCGTTGGGATATTCCATTGTTTTTGGCATAAGCTTTCAAGGTCAAACTATTTATTGCATACGTATAGGCGAAAAATATTGGTAAAATGTCTAGGTGCATGCACATACATATGTACTACATATGCATAATTTGAAAATTGAAAAGGTCATCCATTTTAGAGTTCAATGAATTATACATAAAAAATGTACAATAATGAACATTCACATTTAGTATGTGTATAGATGTGTGTTCATTATTGTTAGCGGGCTTTAGGTGCGTCAGCTGAAACTGTTGTTACGAATATTACAATTGGAGATTGGTCGTTTACAAACCTGTTGTGCGATATTTATTACGTGGACAAGAGTGCATATTGAATGTTTCTGAGAAGTTCAACGACGAGATATGAATAGACTCATACTTATGTAGAGAATACTATATTCACAAATTATTCCAATAAAATTCGTAGTTATGTATGTCCGTTATTGTTTTAAAAAAGCATTTGTTCTCCGAAATATAACCGTAATTATACCTAACCGATGAAGATCATATTGATGATTGTATAATGAATGGATGAATTTGGTGATATATTGCTTTTCAAACATACATATGTATATGTACATATATTTTTGTAAATTTTTTTTTTAACTTACCGTCGTTAGTTATGATTATTAAATTGCATATACACACATAGTCAAAATAATAAGTACATACACCTGTGTGGCTTTCAATCACAAATTCATTCAAGTTTATTCATGTTTGAAGGTAAAGAATGTAACATTTCATTTCTTTTATCACTTAAATAAATATGGATATTTAATTATAAATTTTAATTATAAAATAGAATTTCTAGGTGAGGTTTAAAGACTAGACAAATAATAAGTCTTCTTCTTCTTAATTGGCGTAGACACCGCTTACGCGATTATAGCCGAGTTAACAACAGCGCGCCAGTCGTTTCTTCTTTTCGCTACGTGGCGCCAATTGGATATTCCAAGCGTAGCCCGGTCCTTCCAACGGAGTGGAGGTCGTCCTCTTCCTCTGCTTCCCCCGGCGGGTACAGCGCCGAATACTTTCAGAGTTGGAGTGTTTTCGTCCATTCGGATAACATGACCTAGGCAGCGTAGCCGCTGTCTTTTAATTCACTGAACTATGTCAATGTCGCCATATATCTCGTACAAAAATAATAAGTACAACAGGTATTTATTGGATTCAGTTTTCTGTGCGCTATTTGATTTTTGCTTAACTTAATCTGTTTCTAGTATATCCGCCATTATTTTTCAATTACTTTTGAAATTCGTTTTGGCATGCTAGAGATAAGTTCGCGACACGTATTAATTGAAGTCTTACACATGATTTTTTCGCCGAAATTCAATAACTGAGCCTTATTTTGGAATGATTGCTTTCCAATCCATTGTTTCAGCTCGAAACCCCGAATGTCACTGTTTGCCTTGAAGACGATAAACATTGCGTCTGGCATTGTTCAAGAACAAACCAATATTCCCTATGGCGGACCAATTTCAATGATTATTTGCGAGTTAAAATCTTATCCTTAACAATTATGGCTGTGTTCACAGTATTCTTTGATTATAATCAAGTGTTATGCGTCGTTTGCGCGAAGTTATTCATTAAAAAAGGCTCTTGGTTTTTGCACCACAAAAAACGTTGGCACAAGCGTATTTGGGTACAAGTGTATTTGGGCCAACAGGGAATACTTTGAGTGGACGACATATTAAGAATTTTAAAATTATGAACAAAGTCTTACTACATTTTGCTCATATTAATACAAGCGAAATAACTAACCATTAAAATAATTCGATTTGCTAAAAATCTTAAAATAATTAATAACGTATTTTGTGTTTTGACCATGTGTGTATATACACATAAATTGTATGCATGCAATTATGAAGAAATAATATTAATAGAAGCAATTGTTTCATCGAGATCGGGACTCAAACACATCTCATCACTCTATTTATACTTTTTTACGTTTATTTGCAGCTCCAACAACAATGTCTTTAGCTAGTGTCCACGGACCGCAATTTACCGATATCTGCAGCCCATTGGGGTAAGTTTGTAGTGCTTTGAACAAATCAAGCTAGATAAAGAGTTACGTATATCAAAGTGATAACTTGAGTAAAAATGATATTCATTGGCCTTCTAAGAAGGAATCATACAGGCAGCTTATCAGAAATCTAAAATAAGCATAATTTTGTTCATCGTTGGAGTTGTATTTTTTATCTATATATTTTTATTTATCTATAAATTTCTTAAAGACGCAGCAGTATTAGCATGTCTTCATCATTGTCCGATTTAGTCGGTAGTCCGTTGGAAATTTCCATGGACAATGTACTTACTATTGAAGAGCTGCGTCAGCACATGGGCTCATGTTTTACATGCGGAGTATCCTGGACCGATGACCATGTCTCTCTCGACTGCAGTGAATGTGGAGGCTACAGCTTAGAGCGTCCCTGCCCACTATGTGATGGTCAATGTGGTGTGCTGTGGAAGCGTGATTTCACAATGGTAGGTATAAGAGATTTATACATTAAAGGGTATTTCACTCCTTCTTTAAATTGCTAATGTTCTCTCTTATTCGAATTAAATTTCCTATGTACATAATGTATAATCTAATATGCATTACAATTCGCCAATTCATCAGTTGTGTAGAGAAAATATGCAGTTATAAACGCTTGCTTTAATTTCATTTACTAACTATATGGTAATATGCTTATTTGTTTTACAGTCGCATGCCTATAGCAAAGCTCGATGGCATGGGGTGTGTCCCAGTTATCAGGAGGCAATGACACATTTAAATCCCCACGAATCTGCTGTCACATCCTCCGCTCCGCCATCAACGTGTGCCAACGCAGCCACGCATATGCGTTTGGCCCAGGAGCTGTGTCTACGTTTGGAAGAGCTTTCAGCAAGTGCTCATACGTGATGATACGTCAAGCAGCTATCTAAAAGTTCCTCAATTTATCGTTATTCCATTTTCATCTGAATTGAAGAAAACCTTAATCAACTAGCACATGCTTCATTTCTCCACTGTTTACTGATCTACCTGAGAGTTATTTGTTTTCAACTTGTTTAATAAAACCCAATTAATTACATTTCACTATAATAAAATAATTATAACTATGAAAAAAAATGTTGCTGTAAAGCCTGCCTCTTAAAAACTGCTCCATGCCAAAATTCAGAAGCTTATACAATTTATTACTTTGTTATTGTAAGTTATCTTTCCGTTAAGACTTCCTTCCATACACATTTAGTACATATTATATTTAGAAAAAAAGTAAATGTAATTCACAATGTATTTGTAAACTTAAATGAGTATAATTAAGTACGACGGAGTGGTTGTTACATTTTAAACAGTATATAAGGGGAAATAATTTGAAGCGGAATCAATTTCTGAATAGCTGAAAGAATACATAAGGATAAGTTAATTAAGAATTGGTATTTAGAGAATTTGTAGAAGGCTGTTCAGACTTTTATAGTAATTTAAAAATCCACTGGTTTTACGTATATTAATTTTATTCATGAAGACATTTGCATTTTGTGTTGATATAATATTTAAATTTCTAATGCAATTAAATATTGAAATAATTATCCCAAAAGCGAATTTAAGTCGACAATTTTGATTTCCAACATGGACAAAGGCTCTGCCTAATATAAATACATACATACATTTCGAATGCTCAATTGATAAGTGCTGTGCCGTATTTATATTAATATATCTGCGGTTTATAAATTAAGCTGAAATAAATATATAAGTTTTTAGATTTTCTATGAAAATCTGTTTATTTTTTCGTAGTAATTTAATACAATGAATATAAGTAATATTATTTGTAGCTACATATTATTCCGTAATATTACTTTATATAGTGATATGTTTTATTTGTATATACTTAATAAATAATTTCAAAAATCCTCTTAAAATCAGTTTGAAACAAAACCCGCTCATCAATTCCTGCGGTATTTTTAAATGGAGTGATAACATTGAACCCAGTGCCTTGCGTATATGGTTTTTATACTCTCACAATATTTTTCAACAGAATATTGTAGTTTTGTTCGCCTAAAGATAGGAGATATTAAGTTACATATATATATATGTATGCATGTATACATAAATGATCTGGATGACGAGGCGAGTTGAAGACCGTGCAAGCGATAATTTGATTAAAATTAAATATATTTGTGTATACTGGTAATCAGGCTCTGATACTTGCAAATTGCTCGAGTATAAAATAACCTAGGTAGGTAGGGAGATGAATGTACTCTTACTTCATAAAGAAATTATTTCATTGCGCAGAGTTTCAAAAACGTTTTTTGGTCGTTTTGTGATTATTAGTATGTGTATTCTATTGAAGTTTATTATTATTTACATAGTTGTTTTAGACTCCTATAGCTATACCGCAGCTTACAATTATTTCTGCGGCAATGATGATTGGTGTGAGAAAGGAAAGCATATTATGTGTGATCCATCGGCAATTGTAAGTTACTTACATACATATGTACATCTGCATGTTTTATGTGAGGGAAATTCTTTTTGTAATACAGGAAAACATAGGTAAATTTAAACGACATATGCCATCGACTTTTAAAATTAGATATATGTTTTTGGAGCTTCACAACCAGCTTCGTAATGAAGTAGCTGGTCAGGTGAAAGCAACACGCATGCGAAACTTCATTTGGGACAGTGAGCTAGCATACCTGGCTCGTACATACACTGGTTTATGCCCAAGCAAACCGAGCGAATGTCATAAAACGGCACGTTTTGAAAAAGTTGGCCTCAATTCAGCAATGCAAGATGGATTAAATCGAATATCATTAGACACACTAATGACGACTACATTCAATAAATGGAAAAAGGATGATTCTACTTTTTACAAAGTGCTCACCCTCGATCAGGCGTCGCGTGTGGGGTGTGCCATAGGTTATTGTGTAGACTGCCCGGAAGGTAAAATGTAAGTGTATCATATTTACTAACACTATATCATTTATATGAATATATGTATGCATGTGTCCTTGTAGTCATTGTTATTTCATATCTTGCTATTATGATATGGATTATAAAGAGGGCGTAGAAATAAATAAGGGAGAAAAAGCGGCTTCGAAATGCAACGTTTGGAACTCGGTTCAGGACGAAAAATATACAAACCTCTGCCGTAACACAGGAAAAATATTTTAGAAAATACATGAAACTTAATTAATTTATGGAAACACGCGTTTAACTTTAAGCAGAGAACGTATATTTATACTATTATTTATATTATAAATATACGTTCTCTGATATTCTTGTTCTCTGCTTTCTCTATATATTTACGTTCTCTGCACGTTCATCGCACTATTTTAGCTTTTGACAATTCACATGCTGGTTCGCAATTTCATACGTGCTAAATTGATTATTTTTATGTTTTCCTTCATAATAAGTCGGCATTTGATCACATTTAAAATTCTTTATGCCATCTAGTAACTAGTCAATTAGTAGTAAAACTGTAAAAACGTTAAGGAAAACATAATTATTTTACATATATTTATTATAGTGAAAGAAATTGTGTTTAAAAATGTGTATCTATACGACGTTAAATAACGTTAAAATAATGCACGCAGGCATAGCTAGATAAATATTTTTATTCTCGTTTGTTTTAAAATGATAAAAGTCATGTAATTTGCAACATTCCCAGAAAATGCTGTAAGCAAAAAAAAATAATATATATTAAAATACAAGACTAAAATCTTTTGGGTTGTGGATATAATTGTTTAAATAAGTGAAATACTCTTAAATTAGACTGGAGTCTTAAGTCTAATTAAAGAAAATGAAGGTTCACTTTCGTGAACAATATGGTTCTAAAGGAGAGGAGGTTCTCTATATAACACCAGCAGGTAACTTTATACGTATTTACTAAGATTTTTATTTTTCATATTTATATTTGTATAGATCAAAATAACATTGTTCGCGTTCCTTTGCGCGGCGATAAATTGGTAATACAGGAGAAATTTTTTCTTTTCCGAATACTCCAGAAAATCTTTTTACCGAAAGGCTACCCAGATAGCGTCAGCGAAGATTACGCGTCATATCAAGTATGGGATACTATACAGGCATTTTGCAGCACCATTTGTGGTTGGTAATTTGCTGGCTTATCACAATTCTCTTGCCTATTTAAATTGCAAGGATGGTCTAAAAACCACCTTTATTATTTAAATGCAGGTACACTTTGCACCCACGCCATTCTGAAAGGATTAGGTGTGGGAAATGATAACATAACAGCTTATTCAGCTACAGTCACTTGGATTCTTAAGGACGGTAGTGGACACATAGGTCGTATCTTATTCTCATGGTGGAAGGGTTCGCAGCTGGATATCGATTCAAAAAAATGGCGCCTAAGAGCAGATTTTCTGAATGATTTAGCAATGGGTATTGAAATATATGTGCTTCCAAAGTACAAATTTTTCAGTACGCACTTATTGTGTGTCACAACTGTACTTAAAGCTATTGTGGGTGTTGCAGGTTGGTATTTGCTTCTTGTTAAGAAAATAAATATTGATATAAAACATGTTCGAAAGATTACCAACTATATTCGATGATATTTTAGGTGGTGCAACTCGTGCCGCACTTACGCAGCATCATGCAATTCGGGGCAACTTAGCTGATGTAGCCTCGAAAGACAGTTCGCAAGAAACGTTCGTAAACTTGATAGCTTCATTCTTAGGTCTTTATTTGTTAACGCTTATTAAAAGTCAAAGGTAAACTGTTATATATCATGGTATTCAGTAGAGACTAATACTTCATATTTCAGCATATTGTACACCGTTTTTATATTTATTATCGTAACTCATCTTTATGCAAATTTAAAAGCTGTCAAAGCTGTCTGCTTACGTACATTCAACGAGTCACGTTATTTAATTGCTTTGGAAGAGTACTTCCGATCTGGGCGAATGTTAACACCTCAACAGGTTGAATGATGTTACTATACGTCATATATATTTATATATATATATATAAACCAAAATCCTGTTTTTAGGTTAATAAAATGGAGCGCGTTACTATAGGACAAACAGTTTCTGTGTCGCTAAATATTTATATAGGCTTATCAATCAGAGCTCTCATCGATGAATATAAAACGACTCACGCGGTGGAAAACATAATTTCGTCTTTCGATCCACACGAACGTTTTATTATTGCTGAAAGTAATAAAAATATAGCTGTGTATTTGCATTTTGATGCAAGGCCCCAAGATGTCCTAAAAGCATATTTCTTCGCCGTATCCTATTTGCAAGATCGAAATCAAACCAAAGACAAATATTGGGAAATTCAGTCTAAATGGCAAGAGTTTGTAACGCTAGCACAAAAAGAGGGTAAGCAATAATGCGTATGTACATATATCATACATAATATGTTAAATATGATTGAATTCGTGTTCAGGCTGGATCACTACTCAGCATTTACTGATGGTGGACGAATATCGATTGGACTGGAAGGCATAAAATATAACATAGTACATTAAGGATTTAGAATGAATTAATTGAAAAATACAAAATTTTAAGTTTTGTAGGTCAATCAATTACACGATCTCAAACAGAATCTTCAGTTTACATGCACTATACAAAATCTTGTTTCAAAATATAATATTATCAAAATGATTTCACTGAATTTTATAAAATCCGTGTTATTCTGATATATTTGATATTAGAATTTAAGAAAGTGATATGCACATATCTCGTAAAAACCAAAACTAGCACTACTATAAATAAAAAAGATAATATTTGTACAAGTATTTTAACATAATAGTTTTTAATGTATTATGGTTCGACTGTCATTGTGCGTAAGACATACTTTTGCTATGTTGAGATGCATTCTGAAAAAGGAAAAGTTTCAACTGCTACAATATCCAGAATGACGACTAAAGGTTGTTATTTCGGTGATTTAATCCTGTTTGATTCGGTAAGTAGTAACAAATTCAGATCCACAGTACCATCACTACACTAAATAATCTATATTATGTATATATAAATTTACAAAATAAAATATTGGTTATTAGCATAAACTAATTAAACATATGAAATGTAGAAATCTGTTAAGAAATTAAAAAGCATCATATAAACCTATGCCTATTGAATAAAGATCTCTCAGAGCGTAAAACACTTATTTTGTTTCAAAAATCATAGAATTAAGAAACTGTGGCAACTTCTTATAAAACCTCACATCTGTTTCTTTCGACAATTTGGTTATTTTCGTGCTTTAACATTTTTAGATACTTTTGAAGGGCTTTTATGGTTTGTTGGGAAAACAATTTAAATAATAGAATTTAAGTTAATGTTAATATGGCGGAAATTGAGGAGCAACAGGCAGATGAGCGAGAAGCGTTACTATCCATTTATGACGGTGATACAAACTTTAAGCAAATTGACGCAAACACTTTTCAATACAAGGTATATTTTGATCCTAAATTAATTGATATTGTAATATCTGTGATACCGATTTTAGTATGGAGAAGATGATCATTACAAATCGTTTTTGGTAGAAGTTCAATGGACTTCAAACTATCCCAATGAAATTCCCAAAATAAATATGGATACGTTTTTCAACCGCAATTTGTAAGTACATTGCTGAATAAAATTGAGTTAATAATAAAATAATATCATCCAGAGTACTTGACGTGAAAACTAAAATAAAAAAAGTAATTGCTGAAGAGGCAGAACAGTGGTTAGGATGTGGAATGACCTATACATTATTTGAATGCCTCAAGGATCAGCAAGATGAACTTACTAGCGGTCAACCCGATCATGCAATAACCCAATCAATTGATCTAGATAATTTGGGAGTAAATGCTTTAAAAATATCAGATAATACAGAAACTAACAAAAAAAAGGAAGTAAAAAAAGAGCAATTAACGAAGGCTCAAAAACGACGTCAATGGGAACGCACAGATCATAAGGGCGACAAGCCGAGAGGATGGGATTGGGTAGATATCGTTAAACATCTTTCACAAACCGGTGGTAAAGATAATGGTAACAATGTAAGCACCTCAGTCAGTAATAATGCAAGTGTAAGTGCGGAGGGTGTGTTGTTACAACCGCTTAATATATAGCATTGTGCAAATATAAATTTTATATATTAAATACTAAATGAAAAAAGTATTGCAGGAGTATGATTAATATTGATCTTGCAAATATTGGATGGGATAACAATACTGTCACTATTTACTCAAAACATCTAAAAAGAAATTAATATCGCCCCTCAGTTTAAGTTATAGTCACTCCATCAACAATATTGCATCGGGTGAACTATTGTTTTTCCATAGCCAGATAAATACAAATTACGGATCAAAAAATATTTAAACAAATAGTTTACAATGAATACAGCTAAATATAAAGTATAGTATATAGTATAAATAGTATAATTAAATTATTCCTAATATTAATGAAATCATCTTTTTGGAAAATTAAGTTTAAATGGCAACACTAGTGTTGTGATTAGCCATTCAGTAATTGTTTTCGTTTATTGTATACATTTCCCTCACGTGTTCAATTTTATTAAATTTCCATACAAAAACTAGCATAAACAAAATGACGGAGATTGTTTTGCCGGGTGATCGGATTGCCGCTGCTGAAGAATTAGCTAGAAGTAAAAAAGTAATTTTAGGACCAGGGTTGCGTCGAGAGAATGAGCAAGTAATTGCTTATAAACCGGGGAGACTTCATCACAAAGCGCCCAACACCTACTGGGTAGATAACCATCAACAACGTTATGTACCTGTAAAAGGCGAAGCTGTAATAGGCGTAGTGACAGCTAAAGCGGGAGATATATATCGAGTAGATATTGGAGCACATGATCAAGCTTCTTTGTCATATCTGGCTTTTGAGTCGGCTACAAAGAAAAACCGTCCGGACGTAAATCCTGGAGATATTCTTTATGGAAGACTGATTGTCGCCAGTCGCGATTTAGAACCAGAATTAGTATGTGTTAATTCGAGTGGAAAGAAAGGCAAATTAGGTGTTCTTACGGATGGTTTTGTCATGAATTGTAGTTTAAATTTAGCGCGTTTGATTCTACGTGAAAATTGCCCATTATTACGAGAACTTACTAAAGAGATGCCATTTGAAATCGCTGTTGGATTAAATGGTCGAATCTGGATTAAAGCGAAAAGTCAACGAGAGACAATAGCACTTGGAAATGCAATATTAGCAGCAGAAAACGCCTCTTACGAGGAAATGCCGAAAATTTGTGAGAACATTGGAAATATATTATTTTCCTAAAATTCAAAATAATTGGATAATAATAATTCTTACTCTTTAAATTAAACTGAAATAATTAAAAAAAAATATATATAAATTTTGACTACATACGTAGGTTTATTTATTTACATACATTTATGAGTACAGTGAATCTTTAATGTTTATATAACTATAATGTCTTAATATGATTTGATGTTTTTATACGCTTATGTTTTTTCTTCATTTGTACCTTACTAGTTTCACTCAATTTAGATTCCTGTGCATTGATTGAGTTTGGTTTTTTACCTTTTTGCTTTTTACTCTTTTTACATGAAAGGGGATTTGGATTTTTCGGTCCTCTTCGCGTTTTAATTCGTTTATATAGTTTTTCATTTTGGATAATTTGTATTTGTTTTAAATGTTCACCATGCTTCTCTATGCCACTGGTTAGACTTTTTTGAGATTTTTTGGAAACATATATTTTGGATGCTTCGGAGGGCTCTTCTAAAACGGGTGTAGCTTTGTGCAAATACAACAATATTCTGCCGGGTACTCTCCTAAGGCTCTCTTGTAAAGTGCGATCCTGTGAGGCAACAACGTAACGTCCAACTTTTGTCTGCAGTTTAATATTTGTTAAATAGAATCCATTTATTTTCAATTTATTTTATTAACACACGTACCATGGTCTTGATGCATTGTGAAGCTGGCACAGGTGCACCTTCATGACCGCATTTATGCACATGAAATTTCTTGACAATCATGGTAGCCCCAGCAAGCCGACTTCCCAGAGATTCTGCTTCTAGTATTACACATTGGGTAGTTACTAATTTTATAGTTGTCTGAAAATATTTTTTTATTTGCTCTTCGATTATAACTTTATTCTGAAAAAGTCAATACATAGTTAATGTGAAGGTGCATCATTATATGGTGAACTTACTTGTAGAGCTACCTGACAGAAAGTGGCATCTACCAAAATCTGGTATGGTTCCCGGTAATCAAAATTTGTGGCAAAAAATGTTAACGTTTTATGGGCTTTTTTAAAACGTGTTATCTTCATTATTGCAAAATAATTATGACGACATATAAGATATAAACCGAAATGATACAAAACCTTAAATGAATTTATTCAATCTACCTATGCATATGCATGCCACAGATCTTCGTAAATGTCAAGTGAATGTCTGGTTTGCCTACAGCTGACATCACCTGGAGCCTGCATGGTGGGAACTTATAAGACTACGTTCATACAGGGAAGTTTTTGTGTCTTATGAGGAATTTTTTTTTGGAATAGCATTTTATAGTTTGTGAACATGTCACACATGTGCTTTCGATCGGTATGTTAGCAAGTGAGATTTACTCGTGTATGGGCTTGTGTAGAACTGAGACAAGAATGATCTCAATTCGTTTTGTCTGATCACTAGCAATTCAGTATCTATTTCCCTGTTCAACTGGTTTCATCTCGGAACAACATAAGTTGCCGTTGTTGTTGTTGTTGTAACGGCAGAATTCTGCCGAATTGACAGTCCTTGGCCGGATAAAAATCCGGGTCCGTTCCAGTTTTCGTAGACCCGACTGTCGTGGGAACGACATAAGTTGCCGTGTTGAAGTTCAGTCAGTGACACGTACATATACGACTTTATGTCTTGTGTATACAATTGTCCGACATAACGCGAAGAAAAAGTTCAATGTGAATAAACCATAAGTTTCCATGTACGAATGAGGTATATTCTTCCTCATTCCAAGCTGTTTGTACTGAAACGCGCTTATCTTCTTCGCGAGCTTTTGACAGTTCACGCTTGTTCGCAATTGATTTGAGTACATAGTATATACATATGTACATATGCATACATAAACATATTGAAGATCCTCTGGCAAAGTCAAATAAATATATCATATTCAAGCACTAGTTTAATCGGAAATATTGTACTAAAATGATATTTTTAGAGTTACTGTTCATACTTCTAATTGGTTACTACTTTATTTATCTCATTCTTTGGTTAATTTTGGATTGCAATGTCGAACTTTGGTACAATACATATTTTGGTTTACCCATTTCTTCAATGCGTGGTCAAGTTGTATGGGTGACGGGAGCATCATCTGGTATTGGCAGAGCACTGGCCCTTACATTAGCTAAATATGGAGTGCGGTTAGTAATTTCTGCCAGACGAGAAAACTTGTTGGAATTGCTAAAGAAAGATTGTCTGGAACAAGCGAATGGTTTATTATCTGAAGATGACATACTTGTAATGCAGATGGATGTTTTAAACATTTCGCAGCATGAAGCCTTCTTTGATAGAGTGATAAAATATTTCGGCCGATTGGATGTTTTAGTCAATAATGCTGGGCGCTCACAACGAGCAAGTTGGGAAGAAATAAAAGTTCAAGTTGATAGAGACCTCTTCGAATTAGATGTATTTTCCGTAGTTAATCTTTCCCGAATTGCAGTGCGCTACTTTCTACAGTTGCGTAATGTTCGAGGTCATATTGTAACAACATCAAGCATTGCTGGCTTGTGTCCAGTGCCTTTCTCAGCCACATATTGCGCAGCCAAATCTGCTATTAATGCATACCTGAACGCTCTTCGACTTGAAAAAAGTGGTATTGATGTCAGCATATTTTGTCCTGGTCCCATCGCTACAGATTTTCTCCAGGAAGCATTCACCGCGGTCCCAGAAGAGATGTATGGAAAAAGCACAAACGGCCAAAAACGAATGTCAGCTGAGAGATGCGCCACATTGTTTGCTACTACGATTGCAAATAAATTAGAGCTGTCGTGGTGTGGATTGTTTCCAGTAAATTTTTTGACACATGCAACTCGTTATCCAGGACTAGCAAAAATAATTTTCAAACTCATGGGTAAAAGCACAATGAACAAAATACGTGAAGGCAAATTGTAATTTTATGTTTGTTAAAAGATTTTAAGGTGGTAAAGCAATGTTAAATTTAGATAGCTAATTTTTTTTAAATTTAATTTTAATATGAAGAAAAACTTAATCGTAAAACTGAAAATTATATTTTTTACAATGTACATACAAGTTTAATCGAATATTAATAATCACACAAAGTAAAGGTAATTTCGAATCGTATTTACTTAGATGCGTACTTGTGTAAGCGGCATAGGTTTTCTCTGGGTCTCAATGATTTCTTGAATGCCTTGGGTAAAGTCAACAATAAGCAGGAAAAAGCACTGAAAATGGTATTGTGCCTCTTACGGAATCGGTATCATGGATAAGAGGAATTTTTTTTTTGCCGCTACCACAAAAGGATATCTATGTATAAAAAAAACAGACGAAGACCAACCGATTTAACGGAGGTTTCAAGCGAAGTCAGTCTGTTCTTTTCAACGGAGTGGAGGCCTTCCTCTTCCTCTGCTTCCCTTGGTGGGTACTTCGTCGAATACTTTTAAAGATCGAGTGTTTTCGTCCATTCGGACGACATTACCTAGCCAGGGTAGCCGCTGTAATATTTGCTGTACTATGTTAATTTGGTCATACAGCTCATCGTTCCATCAAATGTGGGATTCACCGTGGTCAATGCGCAAAGGATCATACTTCTTCCGCAGAACTTTTTTCTCGAAAACTCGTAACGTCGACTCATCAGATGCAGTCAACGTCCATGCCTTTGCACCATATAGCAGAACGGAAATAATGAGTGACTTATAGAGTTTGGTTTTTGTTCTTCGATAGAGGACTTTAGTCCTCAGCTGTCTATTCAGACCGAAGTACAAGAGTTATTCTGCGTTGGATTTCGAGGGTGACATTGTTGTTGGTATTAATATTGGTTCCAATATAGACGTAATTATCTACGACTTCGAAGTTATGACTGTCAACAGGGACTTGGGAGACTAGTCGCAAGTGCGACGATTGTTTGTTTGATGACGGGAGATATTTCGTCTTGCCTTCCTTCACTACCAGACCCATTTGTTTTGCTTCTTTGTCCATTCTGGAGAATGCAGAACTAACAGCACGGTTGTTAAAGCCAATGAAAATAGTACCTTCCCTTTGGATTTATGGAGATTCGGCAGAGCACACTTAAATTCCAATCGTTGAGCATGCTTGAAGGCCTATATGTCATATTCAAAAACACGATCTGTTTAATCTTATATATATAAACGTGCTATTTCGTCATGTACTCGCAGAACGTTCGAACCATGCAACGGAAATATGATTGGGAAAACCTAAAAAAAACCTGCATACATCAAAAACGTTAATCGGCCAAAATTAGGGTTAACGCCAACCCAGAAAGATGATCATAATTCAGAGTATTCGTTTATATACTATGTTATTTTATATGGTTAATAGTTACTTAGTTTGATATTTATTCAAGTTAAATATCATTAAGTAGTATATGTAGTATAAGTGAATTTTTTTAAATTCTTTTCAGAAGGTAATGGTTCCACCTATGAATAGGATTTATGTATACATATAATAAATAGGTCTAACAAGATAATGAACACGCTCATCCCCGATCAGACTACTATAATTATAGATAACCATATTTTAATTAACAGAGAGCATTACCAAAGATTTCTGTTAAATTCTACGAAAAGTAAAATAAATTATAATAAAAATCATCATATTCGGTATTTGGTAGGATTTTTTTTTGCTTTGGAACTACTACTATAAATAGGATATACGAATCTGCACAACACTACCGTATTGGTTGTATTAATGAAACGTCGACAATTACGCGACTGAAGTCAGGTAGCACCAATGGCTAACGCACGTACAAATGGTAGAATGTGGGATGACATCTGACTAAACAGTGCGTGAGTTGAAAATTAAATATTTTAACTTGTCTGGGTTATTTATTATTGCATCCTTTTTCGTTGTTTTAAGTGCGGCTTTTATTATGTATGTATATAGTATGTACTTATGTATGTATATCTGTGCACTTCTTCAATTGTGTTGACTGAGTCAATAGTTAGGGATGTAAATTTATCATTACTGTTATTTTGTAATTATCCTTTGAAAAGTTTAGTTAAAAATTAAAATTTATTTTACATTTGAATCCTAAGCGTTTTCTATTGGTATCAAATTGTCTTTAATTAAAAGCATTTGTAACTACCATTACTCACTGAATCTCAGAGTCAGAACGTTTAAGAACACTTTTAAAATTCTGCACTGAACGAGAGAATATTTTCACAGGTTAAAATATGTATGTATGTACATACCCTATCGTGATATTCACCAGTTTTCGATTATCTTACAATCAGTGGGACCCAAAAGCCCAACCATTTTATTTTTTAAAAGTCCGTAAATTTTTCAATAACAGTTTTGGACTAACAAGTAAAAAAATAAGCATAGAAAGTTGAAGATACCCTCAAGGTTTCAAAATTTATACATTTATCCACTAGTAAATTCAAAACAAGCGTCCTTTCGAAATTACAAATCATATTATTTTTCTTCACTTCACGATTGCTCGATTGCTAAGTTCTTCGCTTGAACATAATGAAATAAAAAACTTACATTTGATTAATAGTGCATTATTTCTTCAAGTTAGGATTCGATTTTAAAAACAAGGTTATATGCCTCTTGCCGCAGTGTTCTTTACTTGCATATTAAAACTTTGTGAGGATTATACATATGTCCCTTTACTTCGATTTGTAAAAGCTTACTTTCATAAACTGCAAAAATTAACAGGCATTAAATATTTCGCGGTTTCGAACATTACATATATACTAGTACCTATTAATATATTATTTACATACGTTCATATATACATACATACATGTTAATATATTAAACTGCATTCGTTGGTATTGATTGTTGCACTATGCTCTTGTGGCTAAAAATTAAAGTTCTTCAGCATTCTAATGTTTTAATGCTCAATGCTGATGTGGGAAACGCTTTGTACCAAAATTGAATGAGTCAGAGAAAACGCTGTGAGCGCAAACCGACTGAGTACGTGCAAAGTAAGCCCCGGTAAACAGTGAAATTGAAATGTGAGAGCACGAAATGTTATTGACCGGAGGAAGTGTTGGTAGTGCTTCACGAGCAAACGAACGTTGGAAAAACAAGCTACGATTACTTCGAATGTCTATAAGAGAGCTGGTTGGGCTGTTCTGCAGTCTACTAAAAGCAAACGGAGTGTTAACACATGTATTTAATACGGTGACTGTATCAAGCAACTGTTGAATTATATTTAAGTGATATATATTGAAGTGTGCAGAATTGAACGGAAGAAATGGAATAAAGTCACAAACATTTATAATGTATATTACGAATACAAACTTATAACCAAATAAATGAGTTCAAGAGAATCTATGTGAATAAATAATTGTGGGAAGCTTTGTCATGCTGGGGAAAATCGAATTAAGTAAAAACCATGATAATTTTGTTAAAAATATATAAACAATGAGTATACAAGTGAAGAAAATAAAGAAAGTTAATGTAAAAAAGTGTACAAACCATAGTTTCAAGCCTAATCAGTTTCAATTATAAAATACCAATTGAGAAATACCCCAATAAAATTTATACATGCATCTACATAGTTTGTACAAATGAATAAATCACATCAACAACGAATGCAATATCTATAAATAAGCCAGTGAAAAGACCTAATAACCTTAACTCAAGAGAAAACAAAACAGGAGCAGAGCAGAACATAATAAAAGGTTTGTTATCTTATGTGACATTATGTTTGACTATACATATATCATAGATGCGTATACATACTTATATGTATGTATGTACACACATGAATACATAATAGTATATTCATGTTGACCGGGAGTTAGTGCTAAGAGGCGTGCGCTCAACAGGTCCTGGATGGAATTAGTTGCAGGTCATCATAAAAAGCAGCTTTTTTAGCGGAAAACCAAAATATATTAGCGAAAATCTGTCATAAAATATTTTTCATTTGGTGGTGTCGGGCTGTTCATTTATAATATGACTTTAAAAAAGAAAGAGAAATCTTGTCCAATCATCTATCCAAGATTAATGACATGGATCAGAATTACACAATATTTTAAAAAGCTTCATATTATTATCAAATGTTATCATATGTAAACAAATTTTATAATAAATTCATATGTGGGCTTGCAATTAGGGAGATAAAAATTGCAAACAAAGTAATTAGAGGTTTTCTATTTCAGCGCTTATTGAAACCATATTGTTTAAATGAAACCAACGAGACTTTGTAGTGATCAGAAACTGACGCCCGATTCAGACATTGTGAACACTACAATGATATATTTTTGACTTCAATAATACTTTATATATTAAATGTATTCTCCAGCTTAGATTTTGTCACTATACTAGCTAGCTTGATAAGACACAGCACTCATTCAAATTCCATAATCTGTTTTGTGGAAACTTAAAAGGCAATAGGACATTCCATTTTTTCGAAAATAAAAACGATCTAAATAAGAGATCCAAATAAAAGCGATCCCTTATTTGGATTCGAAAAAATGGAAATGGAAAAGAATCGGCGTATATCTATGAGCGGTGTAATTATGTTGTATGTATGTATGTTGATGGGTCTAAGTGGAGGAATGCACTCACCTTCGTACATACATATGTAAGTACTATATATGGCAGAACTGTATATAACAATAATGTGTATAAAGTCGCATTACCTTTTTTTTATTACTAGTTTATTGATTAAATATTGTCAAATATACAAACCAATATATTCAAATATAATGAAATTTTGTTAGTTTCGACAACATTTATTTTCGGTTATAAACTATATGTGACTCTTATTTATTTATGTATTTTTTAAATTATCAATAGACACTGACCTATTTCATTTTATTTGTTTGGATTTCTTTATATTGCCATTGATTGTCGACATAAGCTCAACCAAAAATTAATAACAAATTCGTTTGTATGTATGTATGTATGTAGACTCGTGTGCGGCTGTACATTTACTCCTCTGATAAGGTATAGTCACTCGAAAAAAAACTCGATGTTAAATTAGTACATGAATATGTAAATCACTTGAATAATCCTTAATTTATTTACTCAAATGATTTTATTAAAGGTTTCTAAATCAACAAGAAGTTTTATAATCTCAAATACCAATAATCATGTAAATGACTTTTTTAAATCATGAAACAGACAAATGTCACTTTGGATATGAAATAATATGTGGCGTTACTATATCGACAAATGAACATACTATATATACTATAGTATTAGTTAATTACAATTATCGTTTAATTTGATATAGAAGTAATTAAATTTCGTTCATCAATATTCTAATTGAATAATCCCTTATTCTTTAGTTTGCAATTAACACATCATCTTAATTATCTACTGTAGCTTTATACCTACGTATTAATGTATCTATGTACATATGTATGTATAAGCTGACATTTGACACTTTCGACAACTTGTTGAAAGTTTCTATAGTCGGACGAAAAGAAAATTGCTTTAGAAATTGCTTGGAAATTGTGTGTGCTATCACACATGTGTTCATATTCATATATGTACATACTTGTATACGTACCATAAATATACATTTGCACTGCACGCTATTGGTGACTATTACGATTTAAAAAAAACATTTCCTTTCTACGCTCCATTTCGCTGGGAGAGTTAGAATATTTTTGGCATACATATGTACATCTTTACATAAATATATAATATGTACCTCTTACGTAATTACGAGTAACGCAAAGTGCAGCAAATTATGGAAACTTGTAATCAAATTACATACACTTTAAGTAAAAATCTATTCATGTGCATATGTAGGAGACATGCAACTTTTAAGGGAGGGCCAACATTCTAACCAATTACCGATAATTGGGGTTGTATGGTGTAAAATAACTGTGCATACGTTTGTCAACAGCCACTTATTTATTGGACAATATTTAAGGTAGTCACTAGACTCTAAGAGACTCATGAAAGAGATTGAAACCGTGGGTCTAATTTCAATATAATTTCGAAAGACGTCAGAGAGCTCTTAATTTCCGTAATTTTAATTTTACCCTAAAGCTTTAACTCTATTATTTGGGTACTCACATTTCTACACTTGTTTAAAAAATTGTTGTTGAATTACATACAAAAATGAGTTTACACATTTACAATTCTCAATGCTATGTTTTCGGATCGTTTTAACTTATAACTTTATAAGACTATGTGAAACCCCTATATGTTTTCTTTTTACAGCTATACTTTTAGCGAATGTTAATGATAACGACAAAAAAATGACTGTGATGCAGGATGTGAAGTCTACAGATGCTTGTGTGGCGGGCATTAATTGCTGTTCTAATACTGCTAACTCGGAAACGTCAATCGACAAATCATCTGTTTGTATGAATCCCAGTTCCACGAGTAATGTTTTGTACAAGCCGAGTAATTATGACAATTGGGAATCCAATTTTAACCTTTGCAAACAGATTGATATCGAATTCGAAAATGTGAAGTACATAGTGCGGAAGTTTAATTTTCATGAACGAAAATTTGGTAAGTTATCTATAAAAAACCTTTATTATGTACTTAATTTATTAATTTTCGCTAGGCGTGGAAAAATAATAGTAAGCCAAGTTGTAGAAAGTTATTGATTCATTAAAATTTAATATTCGTATTGTGGCTTTTAATATTCATACTTAACTTTGAATTTTTAAGCTATGCAATAGTGGAATTTGATCTATTGCTTTTCACTTGTTTTAGTAACGAAGGAGATTTTACATGGGATTAACGGCGCATTCCGAGCTGGGGAACTTACCGCCATAATGGGTCCATCAGGCTCTGGAAAGAGTACACTACTCAATGTAATGACAGGCTTTAGGTAGGTGTTCCAAAGACATACTAATTATTTGCTAATTATATAGGTGAAACTTCATCTGTAAGTGGGTAAATTCTTTCAACATATGTTCGAGTATATCTCTAATGGAACGATCTGGCGCATTGCGCCGCAAAATTAACCAAAAGCACCGAAAAGCATGTATTTCCGATTCAGAAAGACTGTAGTCTCACTTAATTATGATGTTCACCCGAAAACATGATATAAAATATTAAAAAGAGAATATGTAAATATCAAAAACAAAAAAATGGTCGAGTCATAATTCTAATAGCGAACTTTCCTTTGCAAGTTACTGATTTTCCTTTAACTATAAAATATTAGCGAGTGAGTTATAAATAGTTTTATAAATTCACCATGTGTACATATATGTGGGCGGATTTTAATAACAGCGTTTATTTTTTACCTAAAGCTTTTTAAGGCAAGAAATGTTGAATCATTCTCCAGGCATTACTTAATTGAAAAATAAACATATAAAATTCGTACTTGTTGTACATTAAAAGTGAAACAAAGAAAATTGTATCGATTAGCGAAAATTTCATGATGATATTTGTAATATTTGAAAATAAATGGCACACCGTACCCAAACACGCCTACGGTTATTACACAAATCTGCGAACATTTTGCAAAATTTCAAAACAAATCTATGACGCTTAATAGTGTTTTTTTGGAAGAATTTAAACCTAACCTAACTTAACAATGTAGACATTATTCAACTGCCACTGAACCTCAATGGGAAGTAAAAGGAATTAAACCTTGAATTTAAAATTTATTAGCACCAGATAAGAAGTTACACAGGGTTTTGCAGATTAAGCTACGAGCACATATACATACGAATGTATATATATAATGCACATACACCAAAAAATTTTCATGTCCAGGTTTGACATTGAGTTGATTGAACTGTAGATGGCGTTGACTGTGTTTTATTATTACTTTCAAGAATGCAGATAAAAAGCCAAGTTCAGCACAAAACAACCTTTTCATAATAATGTTACAATTTGGTTGCATATAATAAATTACATATGTATGTATGTACCAAAGCATGCAAGCAGTCTCGCATCATGTTAATTAAATTCGTATTAAAATTTAGGAAATATTTGTTTTCACAGAGCCACTGGTGTAACAGGCACAATATGTATCAACGGGGATCCCATTTCAACAAACTCACCCAGTTTTCGAGAACTTTCTTGTTATATACATCAAGACGACTTGTTGAGGCCACTGATGACCATTGGTGAAACGATGATGTTAGCCGCACATCTCAAGCTGGGCTTCAGTACATCCAAGGAATACAAACAAAACTTGGTAAGTTATGTCAATTGATTTGTGAATTGGATCATTTCGATGTTATTTCAAATACATACATACATATATTGCAGCCGAGTCTAACGAGGTTTGTTTAATTCTTTTAAATGAAGTGCTCCTTCAGATTCTTATAACATACATACATATGTTTATAATAGTTTATATATTTTTGAATTTTTACACATGCATATATACACCTCTGTATAAAATTATCCACAGTTAAAGGAACTGAGCAACTGTTATCATTGCTGTTATTATGCTATGTTACAGATCAAACATATATTGGCCCTGCTGGGATTGGAGCATCGGTATCATGTATTTGCGGGGAAGTTGTCTGGCGGCCAGAAAAAACGACTGGCCATAGCACTCGAACTGATAAGCAATCCCCCCGTTTTGTTTTTGGACGAGCCAACTACGTGAGTATTTTTCTGATATTCTTTCTTTATAACATAATAATCATACAAGCGATGTGTATATACAAATACACCAAGCCATTTTGAACAATCTGTAGCCTCAGTGCAAAAGCAATAAAGGGACGTATTTCAGTAGTTGCGATATTTAAATGTCTCTTACTCGTTATATAAATATATGTACATACACATATGTACCAACACATTTAGCCATAACACCCGTTACTCCCTTAAAAATGCCTGGATTATTGATTAAATTTTCTGCTGGGTGTTGTTGTTTTCGCTCGAGCAAATTATTATGAAATTTTAGATTCGAGTGAAGGTTTATTTTATAATCTTGTATAAGTTTACTCACAACGTTTGCAAAACTAACGGAAGCTACGCGCCAATGTCATCCATAATCAGTCATTTTGCCTTAGTGTATAAATAAATATTCCTAATCATAAGTGCACTCTGATACTTGTAAATATACTTATGCACCAATACATATGTACATATATATATATATATATATAATATATTTATACATAAGGTATAAAATCATGCACAAATCCGCAATCCTTATGTAAATATTACACATTTGAAAGCGTAAATAAGTAATAGATGAGATAACCCTTTATTGCGATATATTGTGAGCTGTAAAATAATGAGAGTAAATGTAATGTAGAATAAGCGTAGGAATAGTATAATTGTATTACTGCATCCCAACTATCTTGGCAACATTACCTAAAACACTCTATATAGTAGAGATATAGAAAGTTGCATCCGTACACATATGTATATAGTATATATGTATATATATACGAATTAATGTCCGCGGATTTAAAATCAAATGAAAGAAGTAAGGAGAAACTAACTCCGGGTATAATCGAACATTGTTTACTCTTGTCACTTATATGGGCTCTAGGGCGAGTTTTTAAACGATTTTATTCATTCTAAACACAAGTGTACACCGTTATTAGAAAACACAACTCTCTCAATTTTATTAAGATAACTCACATATTGGCCCACACATATAATACCCAACGGTTACCCTCCTCCCGTCCCAGAAGTTCTAAAATCTTTATATTAAGTATATTGGGGATAAGGGAAGTGTTGACCTGATTGAACCCATTTTTGACACACAGACATACATTAGGAAAGTATTCGCTCTGAATTTTAATTATACATATACATATCTCTCATATTGACCGATATTGTTTTCGATGAGAAACGCTAAGCTGACTCGTAAGCAGTACGACAAAGGACCCCAAATCACATAGGCAGGCCACCGATTGAGGCATGATAGCTATTTAAAAATACCCTACCAAAATGTTTGCCCTAAGTACTCATCGGACTTACCATGTACAAGGTTTAAAAACTTTATCACGTTTCACCGAGAGAAATACTTTATCAATTCCAATTTGTGGGTGTAGCATCGATGTGATGTGATGCGTCATACTCTTATGATGTGTTCGATATAATTTTTATATTATTACAAAATTAATGATTCAATTGAATATTTAATATTAATATGAAAATCTAGGTACACGTTGTAATGCCAGTACACGGATGTCGCGTAGGCTGGTATCAAAGTTCGAAAATGTAGTGGATTTACAAAATATCCGTTATGCATATGAATATTATGAAATGTTTTAAGTTCAGACTTATATAAATAATGATAAATTTTTGTTCTAAGAAGTTTCGACAACACCACACACCGCGATGAAACGCATTAAAATGCCAGGTTTGTTCGATTGCATTTTTATTAGCATTCGATGAATTTTAAACATATAATTAGTTGTCATTGATTGCACTTTTCTCATTGGCTTTCAAAGGGCTCACCTAGTCCATTGCAAAAGTCAGACGATTTATTTGTAAATACATACATATGTATCGCATGCATATATAAACATATGTATGTACGTACCTAATAGAAACGTTCGAGCTATGGAATTTCTAACACTATGCAAGAGATCTTTTAAAAAATTAATTGCTTAGGACTATTTTTTTTAATGATTTGAAATACTCTCGTCAGTTTCATTGGCCTTTTCGATTTCCTTGCAAAGAAAATTATTTTAGATTATGTATTAGATTTTTAATTAAACGCAGATGAAAATGAGACATCTATTCGTGAATCTTTACAGTGGTTTGGACAGTTCGTCGTGCAGTCAATGTGTATCGCTATTAAAAAAGTTGGCATCTCTCGGTCATACCATAGTGTGTACCATTCATCAGCCTAGCGCATTGATTTTCGAGATGTTCGACAAACTATACACTGTTGTTGATGGAAGTTGCATCTACCAAGGGCCAGTAAGAGAGCTTGTACCATTCCTAGAAGGGCAGGATCTGGTGTGTCCAAGTTATCACAATCCAGCAGATTTTCGTAAGTCATTTAAAGTAGTTGCCTTTATATTTACATTTGTTTCCAGTATGACCTGAAAACCCCAACTCGTAGATAGTATTTGGTACAATCCATTTCCGTGTTGGACTAGCTTACTTTCACTTCGAAATTTACCATATTTTCGATTTCAAATAGAAATTACTAGTTGTAAACTAGATGTATTGTTAGCATATACAACTACGCTATAATTGAAGGATTTCAATGTGTTTGATTTTTATCCATAGTGCTGGAGGTTGCGGTGGGGGAGCACGATCGCGATTTAGTAAAACTCATAAATGCAGCAAACAAAAAGTATCACGAAGATGCAGATAACCAACAAATAAATGTGCAACGCTTGCTATCTCGTATTAAAAGTAAGATATATTGTGTCAAAGTCGACAAAAGTCGAATATTCTTTAAGTTAAATTATAAAATAGAATAATTACACACCGATGCAAATACAAATATTAATTATCGCTTTCTCATTCCCTCCCATATGTATAAAATCATTATAACTAATTACTTAACTTTAACCCCAATGTTTTTAGGTAAAGATGCGTGCAGCAAAATCGCTGGCAATTTGAAACGTTTCCCCAACGTTATGTCCAAACTTACGTCCTTCGATTACGTAAAACCCGCCGCGGACGAAGTGGCTTTGGAGGAAGTGAAATCGCTGAATGCCAGTGTCGGCACAAGGGAAAAGTTGGATGATAAAGATTGCGATGCTTGCCCAACAGGCCGTGGGAAAATTAATGGCCGACGTAGCACGGCCTATAAGGCTTTACACACCGAGCAGGCCTCATTTATAATGCAATATTTTCTGCTTCTGAATCGGATCTTTATATGTGCCCGACGGAATTATGTGAGTTTTACTTTTTATTTGGTTATAAAAATTGTTCGGATTTTTGCATTTTTTTGTTTTTTTGTAAATATAAATTGTACACAAGTTTGCATAAAATCTTGAACAATTAACATCCGCTATATTCCAAATTAAAATGTGCACTTAAGTAGTAATTAAAAAAAAATTTACTTCGCTCATATAGTAAATTCAGTGTTTTTTGAAATATATATTTAAATAGGTACTTAATTGTACAGTATTGCACAAAATATATGTAACTGGTAAAAATATATAAAACATTATCTTACAAAACAATGTACATAAATTATGTCATGTGACAGATGCATTAATATTGAAGAAGACGTCGGGGTCAATGTATGTACATATGTTATGTTAGTTTTTCTAAAGTAAACTGATTTAACGTATATATTATATCTCCCTTGGCACTTAAGCTAAATCAACCAAACCTGATCAGAACAAATATTTTTACAACATCTATATGGTTTAAAATCGGCTTAAAACCCCGTCCACTCCCCATATAACGGTTATATTGAAAACTAATGAAAGTGCCATAAATCTATAAAGAATAGCGTCAGAGATACTCATTTTGCATCTCTCTGATACCAATACAATGAATTTCAAACACAAGCCTTTTAAATTTTTCTATGTTATTGGCGTTAACACAGAGGCGTTTAAAGAAAATGGAATATTTTAACTCAAACTTGCATAATAATGAACGTGAATTATTTTAAAGCCAATCGGTGACTTCGGACTACTTTAATGTACAATTTCCTCGCCACCGATTGTTCAGATATAAATAAGTGGGATTTTATGTTTTAACTACTTCAAAATTGAAACTAAGACGATGAAATTTGATTGTACATTTTTGTAATGAATAAAAAATTTGCAGTGAAAATAATATCGATCTTTATCGAAACTTTTACTACTCGTAATTAGTTTTAAAAACAAAATATTATTATAGACACAATTAACAATTTGTATATGTTTTTGTATTCTTCTCACAAAAGAAATTGAACAACTTAATTTAGAGAATAATCCATTAAAACATTTGATAGCAATCAAACAAAGATTGAATGCAGACTCATTATGTACTTATACATTGCATAAACAACCACTTTTGTAATTGATAGTAAGCAAGAGCAATATCCTCTTAAAATACCTTAAGTAAATCAAATTTAATGCGAACATATTTTTTTTTATTACTTGAGTAGTTATATCAATATATCTGTGTATACCATTTGTACTAAGTGTGTATACGTGCATTGGCTTACGTTTTTCTAGTCGTGTGTAAGTATGAATACGGGCTTACAAATGTAGATACATTAACCCACTCGTGAGCAACAACTATACTCCACAATAATATTGTATGGTTGTATGTACATTTGTATATGAGCATGCGCAAATCTTATTACCCATAAACTGTCCAAGCTAGTTGCATACGGTTTAATTGCAATAACCTTAACACACTTTTGCATGAGTGGCTACTGGTTACCACAGCCAAGTTTGCAGCCTTTTAGTTTTTGAACATAATTAATTTTTATTATTTTTACAAACAACTTTATAACAGACCTCATGAACCAAACTTGCATTGCAGTATTTGTGAGAGATATACCGCTAACTGACTATCTAAATTGGGCTTTTCATTTTAACTTTTTGTTTTGCAGTTCTTGTTGTTGGCTCGGTTGATGTCACACATTGTAATTGGCTTGGTATTTGGTTACTTGTATATGAATGTCGGCGATAAAGCGACCACTGTGCTCGGCAACTACGTCTATTTGTACGGTACAATTTTATTGTTGGTCTACACCGGCAAAATGGCTGTGGTGCTAACATGTAAGTAATGCCATGTTATTTTGCATTTATTTAACTGTATATGTATGTATGTATGTACGGAAGTAAGTGGTAGATGAACAAAGTACTTAATTAATACCACAGGTATTTTAAAATCAGTTCCCAATAATTGGAGAATATGTTTCATTGAATTCGAATTGCTGTCAGTAACTTGCTCTTATAAAATTTATAAATAAGAAAAGCAATAGATATATTAGTATTTCTTAAAAATCGATTAACCACGAGATTCAATAAACCACTGGAATATTTTATAGGAAAAGTAATTAGTCGAACTGTTTTGCATAAATAATTTTCAATGAACATGGGGATTAACCTTAGAAAATAAATTACAATTCTCGGAAATATTCAGGTATGACACATTTCATCTATACCAGAAGGGGAATGATTTTTGTACAAATTTAGGTTATCCATTATTGAAGTTATTTACTAATACACCCCTATTATCTCATCTATATTGGTTTTGGAACGGAACTAGCCACTACATAATGCACTTCACATTTTATCCCGACAGTTCCTTTGGAAATTGGAATGCTGACCCGAGAACATTTCAACCGGTGGTACGGTCTTACTCCATACTTCTTATCGATGTTGTCTTTTGAAATACCATTTCAGGTAAGGAATTTATACACATATACATACATATGTATATAATATCTACTAACCAAGTGATTTACTGCTAGCGGTAAAAACTGTTTATTTCTATATGTAAAGCAAAACTTCGAAGCTTTTCTGTTTATATTTATTCACTCGCAGTGCCCACATACGTATGTATGTGTGCATGTGGGTACATTCATATTTTAAACTTTTACGCATTCTTCGTATTTATTTTGATGCTCACCTTTAGTGTCAATAAACTTTTTCGCATTGACCTCCATACATTACGTAAATGAAAGTTTGGCCATGGCAAATCGCATGTTCAAATCTCGGCAGAGTTAAAATCCGTATTAAAATGTGCGACTTGTCAAGTAGAGGTGCAACTGAATAACAAACTAATTGATTGATATCATGATTATATTATATATGAATATATTCGTGTATATGCATGTACTAATACAAATAATGGCATTAAATTTTATAATCTATCTTAATGTTACTGGAGTATACTCTGTGCAAAAACCTTGTGTACCAAGGCGCATCACACACGGGCCTCTGGACTCAGTCCTCCCTTGTCGTTTAGATACTTATAGACAATTTGTGCATGAATAAACCACTAATGCAAATTCCAAATATATTTTCAGAGTATTTGCGCAGTAATTTACATGGCCATAAGCGTTTACCTAACTGGCAACAACACAAATGAGTGCTTTCGGATATATTACTTCGTCGTATTGGCCGTTTTGGCGACACTTAGTGCTCAAGCCTGGGGCTTCTTTGTCGGTGCCACGCTACCTACCAAAGTAAGGGTTTAGTTTAATATTACCTCATATACATGAATATACAATTTAATTTGTATACAATATCGCATAATATCTGAAATCGTCTCATAGTTGGCAGTTTTCTTGGGTCCCATTCTGGCAGTATTGTTTTCAGTGTTTGGGTTCTGCACGCGATACATCGATATCACGCCTATCTTTCGCTGGATGTGGCATATCAGCTATTTTCGAGCAGGTTTCCACGGCGCACTTAATGCTATTTATGGCTTGGAACGCCCATTTCTAACATGTCCGGATACTGCAATGTATTGCCATTTCCGAAGTCCCAAAGTATTTCTCAACTACATGATGATATCGGATGTAAATATGGCTGACTGCGTCACACTGATGGTTGTCGTGATTGTCGTTATGCATATACTTACTCTAATAACGCTCTGGCACAAATTGAACAAACGTTAATTAACAAAATATGAATTATAATATATTAGTAGTTTAAGTATATAAACCAAATAATAATTATTTTTAAATATGGGTATGCATAAGTAATAACAACTATATATATATATACTATGTCGTAAGGGGATTATGGTTTTTACTTATTTGAACTTTAAAGACCTTTAGATCATCGTAATTACACCCTTATGTTCCTTAATAACTTAAAACATAAAAAGTGAAAACAAAAATGAACAATTGTAAATTTGTATACAAATCTTCTAAATACTTAAAAGTTTTTGTACGTACGTATACGATAACTTTAGTAGTTCTAAAATTGCAATTTTAGCAAAAAAATATAGTATTACATTTTTAAAGGCTCATTTGTAGAAATAAAGAAATATATATATTTTTTTATGCAGCATATCTAAAAACATTTTAATACTTATCGAATTGATTCGCTGGTCCTTGCCAATTCTACTGAAAAGAAATCTACCAAAAAATCTCGAAATCTAGTTAACTTCAACCCTTATAAGTTATTTAGAAAAATCTTATAGCATCGAAAATTAGGCGTAAACGATATACTATATACAAGTTGTAGGTAGACATTCTAAATGTACAAACAATGTTGGAGACATGTGATTTATTTAGATTAGATCTAGCTTAAGCGAATGTAATAAAAATATTACTTGAACATTAAAAAATATCAAATTAAAACATTGGTTTAATTTTAAATGCAACTAAATTATAAAATAAAATCATATTAATGAATAAAATTAAATAATTGAAAATGCTTTGTGGACTAGGTTGTCAAAGGCTTCAAAGATTATCGAAAGTTATATGTAACTAAATGATTTCGATGAAAATTTAATAAAAGTCATAACAGGTACGTATGTGTGTACATGTATATATCTAACAATATTTTAAAGATAAAGATATCATATGTAATAATAATTAATTGCGTACTTATCTTAAATTGTATAGTAAATATTTGGTAAAACTCTAACGCAAAGTATTAAAATACGTGCAAAGTGTTAAGACTACTGAAACTGAAGAGCTAAAATGCCATTATTATAAACAAAAAATTATTTTCAAACCTTTTTCAAATTGTCACACTAAAGTTAATTTTCTTATAAAGCTATTTATTATTCAAAATCCCATTATTAATAAGAATTATTTTCTGATGGTGAGGCATAATAAATTGTGCGGTCTGACACTATTTTTTCTCAAACGTTGGAGGATGCAGGTGATTTCAGATTTCTCATCTTAGACACTTCCAACAGTAGAATTTACATATATAAGCCTATCTTATCTTATTTTGAAGTCTTTCTTTACTCTTGTATTTTATATTTTCGTATAATTACATACAACAAAAAGGATTATCTATTGTGAACATGTGTTTTTAATTTTCTGGATTGAGTTCCGACCAGATTTCGATAACAATGCATCATTCCGGATTCCTATTTGATTTGAAAGATAATTCTTAATCAAAGTTGGCAGTAATAATGAATCTAAAATATTTGCAATATTGTAACACAGGTGTGGTATGCTCGATATAGGAAAATATGGCACAAAACACACAATAGAGCATACTTTTAGGCGGTGTGTAGTAGGTTTTTTTAAACTCTTGCAATCTGTTGCTACAGAGTATAATAGTTTTGTTCATCTAACAGTTGCCCTTGTCACCTTAAACAAATCGATGCTCAGAAAACGACTTTAACTGAAAACCTATAAAGTGCTATAACTAAGTAGTAAATTAAGATATAAAACTGAAAATTGGAACATGGGATCGCAGTAGTAAGGGACTACAACCCCACCTACTTCTCATATGCCACAATTTTAAGTTCCATTTGATTCTTTCACTTTCCAGTACACAAATCAAGTTGCCATTAATATAACGGGATAAAGTTTTGCACTAATAATTCCTTTAAAGTAAGTCATCTTTTGACCAAAAATTGCCCAAATCTAACCAAAATTGTTCTACCCCTCCGTACCGAATATGTGGACCCCAGTATCTATAGTTGACTTTTGACTGAAAATATCGGTCAGTGTGTGGGATATATAACTGAAATTCAGGGAAATCCTTTTCTGACAATGGTAACTCTATGTATCAAAAATGAGTTGAATCGGGTCAATACTTCCGTATACTCCAATATATTATATCTAACATAAAGTTTTGCGAACTTACGGGTGACTTTATACTGCATACTCGTATGTCGGAGTTGTCTCAACGTGTCGTGTTTGACTCATAACAGTGTATCTCTGTGCCTAAAATAAATAAAACTAAACAAAAACTCGACCTAGCCCCCTTATAAATAATATCACGATTTTCGAATATCCGACTAACTTTATTCCATATGAACTGGTGATTGTATGTGAGGTACATTAATGAAACCTAGGACACATTTTAGTTAATAGGTAAAATCGGATCGATTAGCAATTTCCCTGGTATTAATTTCTTCATGTTGCAAGAGACTTAGCCTTTCCTTACATGTTTTAGTATGACGATTTTGTTTAAGTTTTTTTCTTTTGATTATAGGTCACCACTAACTCCACAGAAGTATTCAACATTTTATTACCAAGATATGCATATGTGAATTTTTTTAACTGAGCCCTATACCCATTTGTCATCAACTTTAATTGTAAATGTGTATTATCAACATATAAAAGCATTTACCCTAGGACATAAACCTCCAAGATAAAGAGGCAGATAAGATATAGTAATCATAAATTGGGCGGCAGACCTTGTTCACACATTTCGGCTATTTATAAAAACCCCAAATTGTGTGAATTTTTTGCATACATACATACATATATACCATATAGAGGAGTGATTACCAAGATATACATATGTGATTTTTTTTAACTGAGCCCTATACCCATTTGTCATCAACTCTAATTGTAAATGTGTATTATCAACATATAAAAGCATTACCTTGTTACATAAACCTCCAAGATAAAGAGGCAGATAAGATATGGTAATCATAAATTGGGCGGCAGTCCTTGTTCAYACATTTCGGCTATTTATAAAAACCCCAAATTGTGTAAATTTTTTTTACATACATATATACTATATACATCACAAATTGTTTTTGGAAATAGCAAAAATGTATTTTATTTTTTAAATCATAGAACACGATTAATTTACTTTTTCGGTTGTCTCTTTTCTCAACCCCAGGATCGTTCTCTTTATTTATACATAATATTTTATATTCATTTATTTATATATTGTTTAATTGTTTTAAGTAAAGCATGGAGGCTGTTATTATGTTCAGGAGTAAGACTGCAATATTACAATACACATATTTACATATTATAAATGTATTTATTATAAATAATCACTTGTATGAAGAAATAGTTTCTTATCAGTAAATTGATCAAGTTATGTGTTGTCCAAGGAATGGAAAGTAATACAAAACGAAGAAGAGTGCACGCAATAATTCTCAATTCTGATAAGCTAAAAATTCTCAAGAACAAAAAGAAGAAGACCAAGAAGGAGAGAATAAGAAATAATTTTATTTTAGATAAGAAAAATGTTAGATGAAGTCTCATGAATACACAAATTGAATTAAAATTTATAGAAATATTCAAATTTGATTTGGATTTTTATTAATATTATTAATATTTAAAAATATTATATTTTTCTTTGCGATATATGAATAATTATGTTTCAAAACTAACATTTTGTTAATGACAAGGGCACAAGTGGTTAACGGCAACACTGATTTTCAATGCACAAAGTACTATATGTATGTATGTATATACATTCGTATCTGGCAGTATACGCATACATATGAATATTCGTACTTAGATCTCATCGTCTCGCCTGTATTCAGGGTAGTTCGTCGCTTACTCAAATCAGTCTATGAAATTTCGTTGAACGTGCTTGCTGGTAGGTCGCGGCACTACCTCGCATTGAACATTAGTGATAATTATTTCCAAAGGTACTTTGTTAAATTTTAGAGGAGTGATTACAATCCAAAAATATAGAAATACTWTTGGTACTTTTTAATTTAACAGTTCAAATTGAATTTAATAAGATAAGCTCKCGCTTAATTGCATTATCACCTGCAATCAAATCACAAGTACATAGTATATGAAGCTATATACATACATGTGTGTTAAAAATAATACAAACATGCAAACGCTTATGCCTCAAATGCATGAAGTGCTAAAAACTATAACATTAGTTTAAAGTACAAGATGAATACAAAAGTTATTACATCTGATTTTCGATTAATCCTGCTAAAAACATATTACATATCCGTGTTTGTGAATATTTACCAGCATACATAATTTTTCGAGTGTTTGATATGCGGAAATAGTGCGTAATATAAGTAAAACAAAGTACTATATATTATGTACCTGTACATATGTATTTTACGGTATTTTACAATTTCGCCGGCAAAACTATAAAAATGTTCGTTATACGTATGTATAGATATACATAAGAGAGAGATTATATACGAAGTTTTTGAAATATCAGGCATGTCTTTCTGGAATAACAATTTGACAAGTGCATGGGCCAAATATAATTTCGGCACACATACATATGTTGATGTGAACATGAGTATACATAATAGAAGCATACCCAAAGCTAAAGAGATGAGAACTAAGAAGCACGTTAAATATGTAGGTCGTACAATATGCTTTACATCGTTGTACCAATTATAGTTTATTGAGCCGACTAACTGATAATCAACTATGGTCAGAAGAGTGTACTATAGAATGTGAGACGACTGCAATTCTAGGACAGGTATAAAGAAATATCCCTTGAATCAATTGTTTGCAGTTTTTGGGTTATCGAAATGATACACATACTGGTGGTTTGCATATCTTATTTCCAGWTTGCGGGAAACATCACTTTTTGCAATCAGGACTTATGTATGTATGTACATACATTTGTATTTACATAGCTTGATTAATAAAGTTCAAAAGTTTATCAGCTAGTACGCTATTAATATGATTACAATATAAATTGCCAACATGCTAAGAAATATTCTTCATGTACATACATATGTATGAAGATGCATACTTACATATGTGTAATTGTCATTCTTTGCTAAAAACAAAAAACCAAGTTGTAATAGTAAAAGTAACAAAATGTGGGGCATATGTAAATAGAGGACGAGAAACAGGTGATGGGCGTGGGAATGGAAAGAATTATATGCAAATCGAAATGCTCATTGACAAGATGCCGCTACCCTGAATTTGAGCTCTCCTTCCGCAGAAACGTTTACTAATTCTAATTTTGCGGACGAATGATATATAAAAGAAAATAAACAAAAACACCAAAATTAAGTGTATTCAAATATACAGATGTATAAATATGAGAGCCCGCTCTGTCTTATTGAAATTTGGTGAGAGCTTAGAAGTTCAAGCGAGACTGCTTACTATTGCTAGTTATGTATGTATGTATCTACGATGTACTTTTCTTACATTTGTAAATATTGGATTTGAGGTTTAAAAAAACATTGATTTATACAATAACTTTTTAAATGCGATTCGATGCAAATAATTTCACTTAGTTGGGCTTTTTAGCACTTAAGTTAATTTTATATAAACTGTTTCTATATATCTCCATCAATATAAATCAACGTACGTACTATATACATATGAATTGTGTAACTTTGTTTTCCGGTGTTGAAGTGTTTATGTTCTATGAGTATAAAATTAGTCGGTTTGCCTTTTAATCATAGAGAGCGTTTTTACAAGAGAGAGGCTGATTGCGAAAATAACAACAAGAAAATAAGAGTGTCAAATACAAAATTGCATAAGCTGAAATGAATATTATGGTTACTAGTGAGATTACGGTATTAAATAACCTCTGACCGTTAAAATTCATCCCCCTCAACGCACCTGTTCTTTTGTGCGAGAGTGCAAACAAAACCCACAAATAAACAATAGGAAAGAGAAAATGTGGATATCATGTGAAAGCCAAACTACGACGTATATAATCAAAACAAATGCAATTTATGAATCCAATCCAAGCGAAGTGCAATAATAATAAACAAAAAGAAATTTTCTGTAACCACAAAAAATTAATTCGTTTGAATGTTTGTGTGTATGAAATAAGATAGCTTTAATTTATTAAATTTCATTGAATAATTGGAAGACGGTTATAAACTTAATCTTCTATATAAAAACCCTGTGAATACCAAAATCTATATCATATCCTATATGTATGTATATATGTATTAGGGTGATTCAAAAAAAAAAATTTTTTCGTTTGGTACTCTGAAAAATRGGTTCCTAGACACCTCTAAGGAAGCCTCTCCAAGAATGAGTTCTTAAATGTAACGGGAAGGTCCTCCTACTTAAAATTTTCTATTTTTTCTTATTATGATATAGAAAACTTTATATCTCGCTTCCAACTACTTGAAAAAATATCTTGTTTCTTAGATTTTGTAGGAAATTGAATGCTCTACAAAAAAGGTCTGTACGATTTTTTCGTTTAATCATTTTTGGGAAATTTTTTTATTTCTTATGAATTTTGTAACTCAGTGAATTAAATTATCGTGAACGATGAAACTCATAGGTTTTTGGAGAGGCTTTCTGAGAGGTGCCTAGGAACCTTATTTTTCAGAGAACCAAACGAAAAAAAAAATTATTTTTTGATTCACCCTAATATGCAYTGATGTTTGACGATGAATATCTCGTAAACGCTTAACTTAATCGAAAACTCATTTAAGACCATTTTTATAGAGCAGTAAATTTTCTACAAAACTATGAGTTTCATTATTCATAATGATTTTATTTCATTGAGTTATAAAATTCGTAAGAAATAAAAAAATTTCCCAAAAATAATCAAACTTTAACTGTTTTTAATCTTTTAAACGGTTGGGTTTACGAAAAAATCCTACCGACCTTTTTTGTAGAGCATTCAATTTCCTACAAAATCTAAGAAACAAGATATTTTCAAGTAGTTGGAAGCGATATATAAAGTTTTCTATATCATAATAAGAAAAAATARAAAATTTCAAATAGGAGGACCTTCCCGTTACATTTAAGAACTCATTCTTGGAGAGGCTTCCTTAGAGCTGTCTAGAAACCCCTTGTTCAGAGTACCAAACGAAAAAAAAATTTTTTTTTTTGGAGTTACCCTAGTATGTATATGATAATGCGACTTTAAGCTCCATCGACTACATAATTTTAACAAATGTAAAGTTAAAAATGCTTCCCAGGTCCAAAAGTTCAGCAGAAGATGTTTTACCCGATTATAGTCATAAATGAATAGTCGTTATAAAAAGCATTTAGTGGAGCCATTAACTATTTAAAATAAAAATAATGGCTGTAAATGATCTATGAGACTGTAATATCTTTGCTGTGTTTACCAACATTCCGAATGGATGACTAAAAACATTAAAAAAATAGTGCATTAAAGACAATAATAATAATAATTAATCGTACGATTAAGTTAATTTTTTTTAGAAAGCTTAACACAGATTTGCGTATGTATGTATGGATGCTCGCGTAGAACAATTATTCGGTAATGTTAATTTAAATAAGAAAAGTTAATAACTGGTTCAACAAAAAACTTAAAAAGTTAAAGAACAAAAATACGTATAATTAAAATGTCTACACCGAATATAAACTTTGGATTGCTCTCCGCCATCGAAGTTTCTTATAGTACAAACCGTGATCAAGCCGCAAGGAAAACTAATACCGAAGACAATATCTGCGATTTGAACAGCAGAAGAAACATCACTAATATAAGTTCGAAGGAATATATGTCGGGTGATAAACACGGACCCATAAAGCTCGAAAAGGAGATTTCAGAGTCGAAGATGCGTAAAATTGCAACAACAGAAACCAACTCGACAACACTAAAAACTACAACACCAGAAATTGTTTATAAATACGATACTAATAAAACGAATTATTCGGACAACATATCAATGAACAGGCGGCTTTCGAAGACAGAGTCTTATGAAAACGAGTTTGCGGAAACTGTCAACGCAACTCTTTCGAAAGCTGGATATGTTACGGCAAGTAAGACAAGTAGAACTCATCAGACTCCTCCTTATGAAAGCGGACCTTTGGAGAAAGCAAGCAGACTGCTTCAACATGAATACCCAAAGCAAATCAAATCGATAAACATAAGTTTTGAAAATATTTGCTATGGTGTTAAGACCGGTTTATTCAAAAGAGGTTAGTAATAGTGTAAATCCTAGTGCTAGGTCAGGCCAAGGACAAATTATTATTATTCATATTCACTTTGATGAAATAATTATTTTTATCCCACATTAAGGTTGAATTAAAATTACATTATTTTACTGCTGTAATGAGTCATCAAACAGAAAAGAGGAGAATAAAATAATTGTCTGCTATAATTTGCTATGGTTGAATCTGCATTAATTCTAAAACTAACTGCAAACGCATACTTAAGAGATGTATTTATCACAATCACGCGTTCTTAATAACTTAAGAATAGGCTCTGTCCATATACAAAGAAACATATGAGTGTATATAAATATATTGCAATGCGCCATTCTTATTTCTGTACCACATGCAAAATTTAGTTTGTAGTTGAATGATCTTTGACTTTTCGCGTAGTATATGAACGGAAGAGCCACTTAGTTGAAATCAACTATCTATCCATTATTCCATTTACCATGAATCTAGGGAGCACGCATACATGGCTTATGACTACACATTCTGGAAAACGTATTCGAATATGAATATGACCTTGATAAGCTAATATTTTCTATGTAATTAGAACTGAATAACTTTTTACGTTCACAAGAAGTTTTGAAAGTTTAATTTTAACAAAAAAAATAATACAAGTATTACTCATACATAACGATGCGTATTGGTGATTTGACGTTTAATATTTCTGTTTTTCCTACCACACGTGTTAATGAGGAATTGAGAGAGTCAATACTTACTAAAATCGATTTGGATACATTCAAGTTATAACCTGATCAAAAACATAGTCGAGCAGTTACGCACATACAATATGGTTCCTAAATTAAATAATATGAACAAAGATCCTGCCAAGCAGAGTGAACGCATCACATGAATCGCATAATTTTTGAGAGAAATTCGAAATTTCTTGCCTGACCGTCCATCTGTATGTATACGAACAGTCCTTCAATTATTTAAATATTGACCTAAAATTTTGCATAAAAGATATTTTTCTGTGAGATGATCTTAACATATGTATCTACATATTTTTTATTTCGATTTGTTGTTGAAATTCATTAATTATATATAAATACATATATCCTCAACATTTTGAATATGTAATTACTGCCGTTGGTTTCATATAAAAATCCCCAAAAAACACTTTTTACGCGGATAAACTGGGTTTGCGCCTTAACTGCTATTAAAAGAACCATACAAATAAAATTATTTTTTATTTTTTTTATCGCCGTCATTGTTAGAGCGAACCATTTGTATTTAGACCGCTTTGATATCTGCAAATCTGCAATTCTTCTTTCTTCTTAAAATAGTTATTTCAATCAGATTTAAGGGTTCATGCTAACTTAGAACGAGTATTAATATAAACTTTTACAAATTGATTATTAGTATTGTTGGAATTAAAACTCCAGTTTGAGCCGGTAAAAATTTGGCTAGAGCAACATTGGGCTTGATTTTTCATTACCATATAGATGAGAGAAAGTAGATCATCCCAACGTCAAAGCGGTAATCTCTACGTACTATGCACATACAAATGATTGCATATGTATGTATATGCGTACACAATTTATAAATTCACATACAATTTTCCTAGCATTGCTTGACAATTCATACTTTAACGACAACAAAGGACAACTCATTAATAAAAATGGCGACTTTTGCTTGGCAATACGTAAAGATGAGAATTTCCCAATTTTTAGCTTCTGTCAAAGCAAATGTCTGCTGTAAAGGGAAGCAAATGTTCTATATGCATCCATATCACCAATATAATTTGCTTTACTGTAGGCTTAAGGAAATCTAAATTATAAATATTACAATTTTGTACGGTGATGTATTTATATAATGAGTACAGTAATCTGGCCACTTGAAGCAATCAAACAAGATATGCGATTAGCATACGTGTATTTATTAACCTGCTCGATTTTAAACAGGTAAGTTTGCTGCATGTTTTATTATCAGAAACTACCATTAATCAGCAACCTTTTGAAAGTGGGGAATTTAGTATTTCAATTCCGAAAATTTAGTACTGATAAGACAAGTAATCAGTAGTCTTTGTACTCATTATGGATCAATTCATACCAAATCCACAAATTAAAATTAGTTCCCTTGACAGCCCTATAAATCATTTTATATTATGCGGGATATCGTTACAGATTATCCAATACAAATTTTAAATACATATTATTTTAAGCGATTTATGTTCGAAATTTTCTCTTTGAGTTTTTTTCAGAAGATAAGCAGGTCCTCAATGGTGTTACGGGAGAATTTCGTTCCGGTGAACTCAGTGCAGTCGTAGGACCGTCTGGAGCCGGCAAGAGCACACTGCTCAATATTCTCTCATCATATACGTAATAGAAAAATAAAAGTTAATCGCGATTAATGCCCTAAATATAAAATTTTCTATAATTTATAGGGTTTACGGGTTTTCGGGGAATATAAGGATCAACGGTAATCCGCGTGACGTGAAAACATTCAAACCAAATGTAGCCTTTATCACGCAGGATACCACACTGCAACCTTTTCTCACTGTCAAGGAGGCAATGAATTTCGCTGCTAACCTCAAAATCGGTGCTCAAATGAACGCGATAGAAAAACGTGAGCGGGTACATAACGAAATGAAGATTTTTTCATAACATTTAGTTATATCTTAAGATATATTGTAAATCATTAGGTGTTGAACATTCTGAAGTCCATGGGTTTGCTTGAGTCGCTCAACACGAGGACTGGTGACTTATCGGGTGGCCAAAAGAAACGATTGGCGATTTCACTAGAAATAGTGAATAACCCACCAATTTTAATATTAGATGAGCCAACCAGGTAAATAATTACAGAATTATATTAGTAATAGAATAAAAAAAATGAAGATATGTTATATGTCAACAAAGGTTCTGTTAAATTAGGATAAAATAAATTACTATTATATTTCCACTTTACAAATCACTTTTTACTAGTTCGAAGTCAACAAACTCTTTTCGGTGACAGATTATTACATAACATACAAATATATTGCTTTTTTTCTAAATTTTACAGTGGGCTGGACAGCTCTACATCCAATCAGTGCATTTCTCTATTAAAAACTCTGGCGATGGAAGGTCGCACGATCATATGCATAATTCACCAGCCCAGCGCCATAGTATTTCGAATGATCGACCATTTGTTCGCGATCGCAGAGGGCTCCTGCATATATGCAGGCAGAACAGACAATTTGGTTCCCTTCCTAGCTGAAAATGGTTTACACTGTCCACAATCGTACAATCCTTGCGACTTTCGTAAGTCTTTTTTTATTGTCTTATAAATTTGGCAAATAATATTAAATTTAATATTTTTAATTTTTAAAAGTTATGGAAATAAGTACAAACGATTATGGTCCAAATAATAAACTACTTATTGAGAAAATGCAAAACGGTCGTAATACTGGGTATCGACTGGTCAAACGTTCCTTTTCAACCTCAAATGCAGCGTCAACACCAGTTGAAGAATTGCCATCACGTGTTTCTAACACGAGCACATATACCAAAGAGAAACAGCATCAATGCTGTAGTGATAGTCGATTTTCTAAACCGAGGAAATCGAGAATTTCAATTGATACCGGACATATTTGTAAAAGTGATAATATTTATGCTACACCATTTTTCCGTCAATTAGCAATTTTGCTAACCCGTACTTATCTACTGCTTTGGCGTGATAATTCGCTTACAACACTGCGATTCAGTATTCATTTCGGAGTAGCACTACTCATCGGCTTCCTCTACTATGATATTGGAAATGATGCCGCGAATGCAATGAATATTTTCCGTTATGCCTTCTATACAATAATGTTCATTATGTTCTGTGCCTTCTCGTCGATCCTAACGAAATGTAAGAAGCAACTTTTCTTTAATTACAGAGTAATTATTTTAAAATTTTCTCAGTTCCCCTAGAATTTCCCATAGTTTCACGGGAACATTTTAATCGTTGGTATTCACTTCGCGCGTATTATATTGCGATTACTTTAGCCGATATCCCAATACAGCTTATATGTACGAGTCTCTTCATATTTCCTACGTATTATCTGACTGGACAGCCTATGGAGCTAATGCGATTCGCTTTATACTTCACGATCGTTTTTCTTACAGCTCTGGTCGGACAAAGCATTGGACTCAGTGTAGGCTCAGCTCTGAGTGTTCATGTAAGTTTAAGTTCAAATGTATACATATACATATATGTATATATACAAATTATGTTAATTATTTTATGATTATTCTCAGTATGGCGCCATCTTTGGACCATGTTTTATTTGTCCTTTCCTGGCGTTTTCTGGATTCTTCCTTCAAAGAAAAGACTCTCCATTCTATTTAAAATGGATGTTCGATATTTCATTTCTCAAGTATGCCTTGGATGGATCGATGTTGTCGCTTTTCGGTTACGGTCGGGCAAAAATGGAGTGTAAGGAATTTTACTGCCATCACTCCCATCCAGTGTTCTTCCTTAAGAACATGGATTTGGCCAATGCAAATTATAAACTGGCTGCCATATTTTTGTTATCGCTATTTATTGTACTAAGAATTCTCGCATTTTATATCATGTCTTTCAGGTTGAGATTATTCAGATGAAATATGCTGTAATATATGTATTTTAGGCAAGCATTTTGTATTATATAATTAATATACAACCTTGTATACTAATAAATTTTTAATGAAATGGAGGATAGCTCAAAATAAACCCTTAGACACATTACAATCATTATACCAGAGCAATACATACATGATGTACATATATATAAAGCAAAATAATAAGAATAATTAATCAGAAACCGATTTACAGTTTCATGGTTGACCTCAAAGTGAATGAAATGTTTATATACTAAATACACATATTTGAAATCTTTAAATTTTAAATTTTCTCACGAGCATTAGAAGTAACCCTTTTGTATAAAATTGTGAAGTGCTCTCAACGCGATTCCATCGATAATCACATTAAAAGTAAGAGGGAAGTTTTAGGAATTTCTTCAAACAGCAAATTAAATATCAGTTAAATAACAGACTCTGACTTTTACAATGAAGTGGAATTACCTTTTCTTGGGAGAACCACAGCAGTCAAGGTTATGTTTTTGTAATAGTTTAATTTTTGTAATAGAAGATTGTTTAACGTTTAGAACATTCCTCACTTTTCAAATTCTATTTTTATACACTAAAGTATTTAAAACCGCAATGAAATAAAGGTATTTTTTATTTAAAAACTGTCTTTAACTAATTTAAGCGCTGTTATTTAATAAATGCTATTACAATTAAATTTATGGTTGTAACATATATACACATACACATACGTTTATGTTTAAATATATAAATACATATTTATTTCTATTTTAGCTTAGCAAGCCCACATTATTTCTTATGTATGTATTTTTGCTCGTTAATTAAGTAAATGTATCTTCTTATCCCGGACAAACCAACAAAGAATGATTTTCTTGATCTTTAAATACACAAAATAAACAACTAATTTATATTTTTCTATGCTATTGCCAAGAACGAAAGGACTCATAGTGGAAATACGAATACTATCAGAATACAACTTTTGCTCGCTTTGTTGGACCTGAGAAAAGTGTACCCATTTCTGCACGTATATTCTGCAAATAAGTTTCAAGAAGTGAAAAACTAATTTCTCATTGATACCAATTTTTCTAATTCTCATTATATCAGAAATGACATTAAAAATGTTATAACTATATTGTCAAATTAAGTATCTGAATTGAAGACTTAAAACTTTGAAAATGATTACAAATGACAGGACATAATGCATTTTCAGAGTCAAGAACTGTGATATTCTACGAACTAACGGAAGAAGTTGGATTGAAATTAAAATTCGTTAACAAAGGTGTAATGGTTCAGCCCAACGATATTCCAAAAGGAGTATTTTCCATTTAACTGATTAAAAATATAATTTTGGTAGAAATTCTGTGTGTACTTGTTAAATATAGAAAATCATAATTTATTCGAGATAGCTATAGAAATATACATAGTATGTGTACGCATAATATAAAACACCATTGTTGAATTAACTAATTGCAACCAAATTTTATAAATGTGATTAAAATTCTTGAAAGATAACAAACGATGCCCTTTGATTCCATGAGGGATTGTGGTGCTTTGTATCTAATTTTTCTGAAACCTAAAATAAACCAGATAAGTGAAAGAATGCTGGAGGAGAAAACCGCTTACCTTCAAAATTCTTAAACGCATTGGAAATTGAATTTCGCATCTCTTTCATACTAAATTTGACTTATGGGGAAGGTGTTTCAATTTGAAATTCATGTGTCCAGCCATAACGATATTGATTTATAACACTTATATATTGTAAATATTGTTATATACATATATTCTTATTGTATACGAGAATCGTCTTAATTGATGTAAACTACAAGTCAGAGAAAGAGCGATCAATTCGCAAACGATCGCCTTTGTACTCACGGTTTTCACTCTTTCAAACTTTCATGTTATCACTAAATTGGCGAGTAGAATGTGTGAGCGGCTGAACATTCCCAAGCGGCCATGGAGCTCCAAGCTAACAATGCGATTAGAAGCCAATCAGTCGAAGTCGGTAAACTCACAAGACAAATGTTCATGAGTATATGCGGATACGCTAGGTCAATATGAGTTCACATTGGTTGAATAATGATAAAGAAAAATATTTATACTATATTTATAAAAAGCAAGAATATACTTGTGTATTAAAGTGGTCAAGTTCATAATTGGCAGCGTGTAGTGAATATTAATTGATTAAGTGCTTCAACAATATTGTATGTGCAGTATACAAATAACTATATATATATGTATTTGTGTATATGTAAATCACAGAAATGAACCGAACAAAACGGGATAAGCGCATTTGGATTATAATAATAATAGTGTGTTTATTCATCTATTAATTTTAGTAGTTATTATCCAATTCAATTTGATTGCAGAGCGTATAAATAAATATTTATCACAAAATGCTAATGAGCGGATGTCATGTGTAGACAATTGCATACAAATGTATAGAATGCACTTAAGTATGAGGTGAATGATGCTGATTGATATGTTTCGGTTGTATACGAAATTTATCATAACCGATTTTTAAACTTTCGGGGAGAATAAAATAATATACAAATGTATGTATGCATACAATGTAAGGAAACAATTTAAAATAATCGAGGACATTTTGTTTTTCGAACTTTTTTTGTTATTCATGAGATATATTTAGTTACAAATATGTACACATATTTCAAATTACTTAGAAAACTACTTCAGTCGCATTTATTCAAGTAATACCCCAAATAAAGATTATGCGATAACGCACGGACCAGGTTCGATTTAAGGTCATTTCTACTAGTGCTACACAATTGGCCTAAACATACTAAACATATCTAATATACGTACATATGTATGTATGTATGTATGAATGTTTATGTTTGCGACGTTATGGATTTCAGTTTTAACTCTTTGCAGTAATAAAGTAATGGGCCAAGCGCAATAATTTAACCACATAATGCGCCGACTAACTACTGAAGATTAACCATACATTTAAGCTACTTATGTACTTATGTATATTGCTCAATTTATTACATTGATAAGCCGCGTATATACATACAACGTCCGCTATTGCTGAATTCGCCAAAGCCAAAGATACATATATACAATGTACATACTTATATGTGCATACAATAAAATAAATGCATATTGCGAGCTTTCTTATCAATGCAATAGTAATGTAATCTCAGTTTAAAGTACTCTTCCGATGCTACGGTTCTTTGCTGTAACTCATTGCTGTGTGAACATTAGTGCTATTTTTTTGGACTGTTATACATTAAGCGCGAAGCATTTCGTAATTTTTACCACAGTTATCTACCAAGATGCAACACGGTTTAAACAATCTAAAAGTAGCCGAAGCACAAGATATAAGCCGCTTGCACGATTCTTTCTTTATTTTTTTGCTATGCACTTCGCTTTTGATCAGTTTTAATTTCCGAAATAGAGTTCTCTCTTTGTTACCTCAGTGCATTGATCCATGAAAGACCAGTTTCTAGTTTGAATTGTTTCTGGCAAGCTGAGTATCTTTCTCAAGCGCTATCAAACTTAGCCATATGTATGTAGCTGTGCTTGCTTGCATTGTGCGTTAGTCTGGTTAGAGCTTTTCATGCGATAGCCACAATTTGTATGAAGTGAAGTGAAAGCAATGCTTTATAAATATCTCTTTACTCGTTTCAATGGATGTACTAAAGATTAAATTTGACTTAAATTTTGACAAAAAATCACTTTCTGGATTAAATTTACGAAACTAAATTAATTATATTCATACCAACATACATTCACACATTCATATATACAAACATAGATTGAAAGGACGGCCAATAATGATTTCCTCTATGAATGTTGTGCATGAGTTGCGAAACACTGGCCATAATATAGTAAGTCGTACGTTGTGTGTAAGTTTAAAAGCATATTTTATATATTCACTTAATATTATAATAGCAAGGCTAATTGCTTATCTAGCAGGTTAGCGAAATTTATGTCGCTGTTTTAATCTCAAGCTTAACTGTGAATTGACTTGGTGTTAGTGACATTATATCAATATAGATTAAATAGCTGCGTTATTTTAATCACCGTGTGCGGATAGTGACATTTAAAAATGCCAAATAAGGATGACGCAATGGAGATCGAGACCATTGGTAGCGGCAGTTCAGCAAATGGCAACCTCTTGAGCCAAGAGAAATTCAAATTACACTTCAGCAATGTTTTCTATACTGCTAAACAGAGTAAGTCATGAGTTCGTCAAATACTCCTGGAACATAGTACCAAAACGTGAAAGGAAAGGAAAAAAATTATGTTGGACAACGTTTTTCATTTACGCGTTAATCAAAATTTGTCAGTATTTTTTCATTCGAAGAATGTTCTTGAGTTATGGTTTTCGGATTTAGTCATAATTAAAATTTAAAAACTCACGGCATATAGTTGGGAATTTATAGAACTGAAGCTAGAAATAAAAAATAATTGGGACTGTTGTAGTCACAACAATTAAGAAAGGGCTATGTTCGGGTGCAACCGAACATTTTATATTCTTGCAACTTGCAGGAATCAAAGCAAGAGAAATACCTATGATATAAAACGTCAACCAGAGGATCGGAATCCAAGCAATTTTATATATATGCACATACACTATACATAACTTATACACTGACCTATATATTCGGCATAAGATTTGTTAGAAAAACCAAAATCATTATACGTATACAAAATCAGCTAATGTTTGAAAATCCTGGTAATGGTTATATGGTGGCTAGGTCAAGTTTTCGTTTAATTTTGTTCATTATTGTCACAAAGAAACTAATTCAGATAACTCACATATTGGTCTATCTGTATATCCGGTATAAAGTCACTCGGTAGTATAAAAATCTTTTATTAGGTATAGATGGGCTAAGAGAAGTACTAGTCGGGAAGGGTTCTGTCTGTTTCATACCGTCTCTCACAAAACCCTCTCATACCATCTCGGTGATAAAATGTAATGTCTTTAGCGTAATTAGTTATTGATTTATTGCGCTTTTAGTAGTTTGAACAGTAATGTTATATGGGGAGTGAGTGAATGGTTTAGGAGATATGTACATTAAACTTATTAAATTTCCCAAATTACAATTAAAGTTTAATTAGATGCTTAGTTATGGGTCTTTATAAGTTTTCTGTTAATGACGATTTGTGGGCATGGCAGCGGTCCGATTGCGCCGAATCTCGTAGTTTTTCTTGCACAAAAAATTTTTCATCGGTGGTATAAGTAAAGAATTTTCAATATTGTTTTTCCTGCCTTTTACATCATGCTCAAACAAATATACCTACACATATGTACATATGTACATATATATGGATATATGTATGCTATGTAAATATTCTATTTTTCCAACTTATTTTTTGATATCAGACAATAAACTGGTTACGATACTTAATGACATATGTGGAGAGCTCAAATCTGGTCGTCTAACTGCTGTGTTGGGGCCATCTGGTGCGGGGAAAACTTCCATTCTCAATGTGCTATCTGGGTTTAAGTATAACAATAATTTTATATGTTATACTTATTATATACGAAAAGTGATCAAATATTTGCAGAGCAAGTGGTGTGTCAGGCAAAATTACCTTCAATGGAGAAGAGCGAAATAACTTGGCATATCGCAAGGTATCAAGCTACATTCCACAAGATTTTGCCTTGCTCGATTTATTAACGGTGCAGGAGACCATGAGCGATTCGGTGGATCTTAAATTGCCTTCAGAAACAAAGTCCGAAGAAAAAGAAAAAATTGTGAGAGTTCACGTTTTTCAAATACCACACAACAGTGTTTCACTAATTGCGTGCCTTACATTTTTCAAATAGGTCAACGACATTATTCGGATACTAAATATGGAAAAGTGTCGACACAGATTAGTGCGTAATCTTTCTGGTGGTGAGAGGAAACGTCTATCTATCGCTATAGAATTGGTCACCAATCCTCCAATTATGTTTTTTGATGAGCCAACTAGTGGATTGGATAGTGTATCCAGTTTGCAGATAATCAACTATTTGAAACAATTAGCGCTTGATGGCCGGATAATTGTTTGTGTAATTCACCAGCCAAGTTCGAAACTTATGAAACTATTTGATGATGTTATAGTTATGTCGCGAGGAAATATGGTTTATTCAGGACCAAAAGCGGATATGATTCCCACTTTTGAGAAAGCGGGCTTTACATTTCCCGAATATTACAACCCAGCCGATTTCGGTGAGTTTGAGAGGCCTATACCTTAAGTTTATAGAGGATAACGGGCGCATGTACTTAGATATCTGTTTATTTTATCCTCAGCTTTAGAGGTGAGCAGTGAAGAGCACAATGAACAAATCTTGAATTTAATTGAAAGTAATAAGATACGTTATTGTGGAACATATACCCATCCTAATGAAGACGAAACGGATGCAATAGACGAAAATAGTAAGTAATACATTAATACAGTACAAGCAAATTTATTACTAAATTCTTAGACGAATTTAGTACACATCGGTATTCGATTATATACATACATTTGTAAATACATGTATTTAATAGCCCATAAGATTCTATTATTCTTCCCATTATGACTGGTATATTTCTGTTATCATAGCCAAAATATTAAATAACTCAAATAATCACACCACAATTGATGTGCCATCGCACAGTGACACCGAAAGCAGGCGATCAGCACATGAACGATGCAGATTCACAACCATACGTCCCGAAGCCAAGGTAGGGATCTACAGGCAAATGGTCATACTCACACGGAGATCCCTACGTACAATGTCAAGGAACTTGGTAGCTTATTGCACTTCAAAACTTAGAACGGAATTATTTTTGTTTTTCTTCTTTGAAATAGATAGCAGTACAATTACGTGTTGTAGTGCATGTTATTGTTGCAGCTCTTGTTGGGGCAGTATTTTGGGATATCGGCAATGACGGTGCCAGGACTTTAACAAATATTTCTTGCATTTTTTTCATTATAATGTTTATATTCTTTGGCAACGCTATGCCTTCAATTTTGCTATGTGAGTAAAATTTATATTGTTACTGTGGTTTTATATGCACCATATGTATATACATACATGGGCTCCGAATTCACACTTCGAAGTGAACTGCAACCACATGAATATTCATTCGAAGTTAATATCTGAAATTAACCATATTTTAGGTCCTCAGGACACGCCGGTTTTTATACGTGAGTACTTAAACGGTTGGTATTCCCTTAGAGCGTATTATGCGTCAAAACTTACCTCAGATCTTCCGATGCTCTTAATTTGTCCAACATTATTTACGGCGATAATTTACTTTATGACTAGTCAACCGGACGATGCTCTACGATTTGCTATGTGCTGGGTCGTTAGTATAATTTTGGCCATTGTAGGTCACTTTATGGGATTAGCGTTTGGGTCGATATTCGAATTGCAGGTGAGCTATCTTTGAAAAGCTGAAAGTATAAGAATTGGTAAAATAACATATGCGTTTTTGTTTGTTTTGTAGATGGCAATCCTATTAGTACCTGGAATATCGATTCCGTTTATGATTTTTTCAGGGTTTTTTATACGTATTCATGAATTGTCAGATATTTTTCGGCCATTATGTGATATCTCCTTCTATCGTTATACCATGGAAGCATTTATTCAAGCAATATATGGGTATGGTCGCCCCGATTTACAATGTTATAGAGAATTTTGTTACTTTAAATCACCAAGTAAATTGTTAAAGGAGTTGGATATGGAAGCCGACTTATATGGCCACGACATTTCCGTGCTTTCCATTTGGATACTATTCTTTATGGTGTTATTTTTCATTAGCTTAGTTTTACGTATTAAACGTGAGCAATAAATATACAGAATTTTCGTTTTATCAGTTAATTTTTACATTAACTATCGCAAAAATATAAGTATGGAGAAAATACTATATATTTATTGATCAATTACAAACGCGATTCCATATGACAAAGGCAAGTGATTTAGCTTTCTAAGAGCACTCCAGAACACTGTATTTTTGATTGGAATTATTACGTTAAACTAAAAATTTTAAAATTCCCATTTGTACAAATATATATTTCTAATACTGCTTGGTTATTAACAAATATGTTTGAGAGGAAGGTGTTAATGATAAAATAAATTGTGTTAATTCAATTTGAATATCAATATTGTGCATTCAGAAATTTTGTAATATGGAACAAATTAATATTATTTGGTAGCAATTTATGTAAGACATACGTATGTACATCACAACAATTATATTTAACAACATAAGAACTCATGAATAATACTTAAAAAACCGTAAAAATTTAATCGTTTTCAGTCACTGGCATACTTTTACAAAAATAAAGTTCATATTTAACTTTGTAGTGTACATTTACAATAATCCTTTATACTAATGTGTAGCAAAGTTTATAAATAACATGTTTTACAAGAAAATAACTGAAAATATGTGCTCCAAATGCCAAACTGTTGCTTCGACAATTGAATAACCTATTTTAATCTATAGAAATTGAAGAAATTTCCATGGAATGTAGCTCGTCGTCATTACTTTCTGGATCTCTAATTTGTGCTGCTTTTTCATTTGAGTGCCCAACTTCACTCGCTGCCGCCGCGCTAGTACTCGGGCCAATATCATTTGCATTGCTTGAAACAGCCAATTCGCTTTCATTCAAACTCATATCGCCTGTAGTTGATACCAAATGCATATTTGTATTGCTTTCAGCATCGGTTGTTGCCGATTTTGTAGGCACTTTTATATCTGATTGGCAGGACAGTGCATAGTCGCTACACAGATATTCACTTAATTCCATCTCTATGTCATCATCTGATGAGGTATCCCCTGCTATGACGTTTGCATTCGCAGAATTATTCGCTTCACTATCACTGTTTGCGGTTTTCCCACTACGTTTATTTTCAATCGTTTTAAGTAAGGCTTTTGCCTCAGATTTCCGCTATAGGTTTACCGAATCATAAAAAAATTATAAAAAGTATAAAATTATAATATTCACAATGCATGTACATAACTACCTCATCGGATTCGAGACATTTATAAGCATAATGCGAAGCTTTGTCAAATTGACCTTTTGCTTCGTAATAGTTCGCCAAAGTCATGAAACCATGGTATAAACTTTGTTTGTCTGTTGCTGCTCTTTCGTCATCGCAATACATTATATAACATTGAACAGCATCTTCAATCTCTCCCCTTTTTTCATGTAGACCAGCTAATTTACACATAGCAACTCCTTCTATGTCACCTACATCACAAGCTTTCCAATAACACTTGATGGCGTTTTCGAACTTTTCGAGTTTTTCGTATGTTTCTCCTAAAGCCACAAGCATTCGGCTATCATATGGTCGTAATTGGTGGGCTATTTTGAAATAGTACAAACTGTAATAGTGCATTTTGAGAATTTCATATGATTGACCCAAGCCGTACCAGGCGCGATAATCTCGCTTATTAACTTCTAAATATCGGAATATTTGTTATTCAAAGGTTTTTGGACAAACTTTGGTAACTTACCCACCGCCTTGCGATAGCTTTGTATAGCGGCATTTGTATTTTTCAGTTCCATAAACTCGTGACCCATTAATGTCCATGCTGACAAGTACTTTGGATTTAATTTAAGAGCACGCTGAAAGTAGACGATAGCCATTTGATGGTCTGACCGTATACTGTAATAGTTGCCTAAAAAACATAAAAATTAAATGTTTTTAAGACAACCAATATCACTAATTTACCAACAACGCAGCATGTTTCTGGACAATACTTATTAATACTGACTGCCTTATGTGCTAGTTGAGCCATTTCTGTCTTCAATTCCTTTACAAAAAGCAAATTAGAGTAAGTGTCCATATTTTCCAATCGATAGGGATCGACTTCTTGCAGTGTCTGGAAAATTTCTATTGCTCTATCGACATCTTTGGAAACAAATAATAAAAGAAATAAAAATATTTTCATTAATTTTTTATAATAACTTGCATAGTGTACCATAATTAATTTTTCTACTGCAATATTATTGCTTCGCACTCTATTTGTTATTTCAATATAAGTATGTACGTGATAGGTACAAACCTCTTTTGTTGTGATATGCTTGTGCCATTTGTGAAATTACATATACACTTTTACGAAATCCTGCATGTTGGAGATCTTCATATGCTTTTAAGCCTTCATCATTCAAATACATTTCAATGTAACTTAGTGCAACAAAAAAGTGGCGCATCCAATGTCCCCCAAAATTTAGAGACAACATTTTTTCTTTTTCCAGTATGAGCGGTGCTAGTTCAACATAAGCTGCCCATAACATTGGTGCTAGTCGAATTGCATGTACCAACATTTGTATTGCGACTTTGTTGAGATTCAATGATTTTAATACCACCCCATAAAGATATATACCATAACCATCAAGACGACCGTGCGAATATTCCGAACGAAGAATTGTCAACAATTCTGTCATATCTCGCACGTGTCCTATATCATTCAAATTCGAACGATCTGTTGTGGAGTCCAGACGTTTTTTTTCTTTTGCTAAGAAAGTTGCATAAAGATGTAGGAAACGTGGAACAGACGATTCACAATTTCGCACAAAGTACGCAGCTCGATCATACTCATGCACATCGAAATAACTTTTTGCCAGAAAATAATTATCATATTCTGCTTGGGATATTCCCTCCAGGAACTGACAAGATTCTTCATTCGCTGACGTAAACTGTTGTTTGCAGCGATTTGTTCCACCTACATCACAGTCGACATCACTAAGGCCATGGCTCATTTCAGCGAGCCACTTAGCACTTTGAATTAGCCCTCGCTTTTGGCATTCGATAATGCCTCGACGCAGTTCTCGTTTTACGTCCGGTAATGGAATATTAAACAAATCCTCCTCCATATTAATCACAGCTTACAGCAAAGTTTTTAGTTGCTTTCAGAAATGCCACTCTTTAATCAAATGTTATAAATGCCGAATTTATAGATCTATGCTCTTTAAAAGAGAATATGCTTTTTTGACAGTCAACAGAGTTGCCAGTTTTCAATACGATGAAAGTATAAACTCCGACAACAGAGAACGTATAATTAATAATATTATATTATAATTAATAATATTAAACGTTCTCTGCCGACAACTCCATTTTCACAAATAACACTTTTAATTAACTGAAAAAAAGCATTATTCATGCTAAAGCGAACTTTGCTGTCAAAACAAATGTCTGACTCAAAGCGGAGCGGAAGTTCTATGTGAATTAACCATTAGACTTTTGCAGAAAACGTATATCATAGTAATTTACGTTCTTAGCTTTTCTAAACAGCTTTCAACAAATGTCATTATCAAGTAATTTACAGATAGTTTATAGAGATAAATGATTTGTTTTCGCACACTAGTATAATTTAATTATTAGTATTTGCAATAAAATAATTATAAAATTGTTATAAATTCGTCCTCAAAAGAAGCAACAAAATTTCATAAAATTGTGATAGTAATAAGGCGTCATATTTCTAATGTCGCCTGAATCATTTCACCTTTGTTCGGTTTCATTTATTCTGAGCTGAGTGGAAAGCAAAGCAAATAAATAAATATAAATATAAATAATTGAATAAAGTAAAGTCATATAATAAAAAAATTGTTGAGTGTATAGATTCAATTATCTTGGGGAAAGTGAAAATTTACAAAACGATGAAGTTGGTTTTTTTCTGGATCTATGTAGTTCTATTTTCCATAAAGGAAGTAGTCAACGCGGGGTCATTTTTCAAACGATCAAAATTATTATCTCCTGTAATATTTGGTAAGTTTCATCAATATATTGATTTGTTGACCATAAAATGTAGTACTTGCTTAAATAGACGACCATTGTATAAAAACCTATACGCATTGTTACAGTTCCAGGCGACGGTGGAAGCCAACTCGAGGCGAAACTCAATAAATCGAGCTCCCTTCTGTATTGTGCAAAGAAATCTGATTGGTACAGTCTGTGGTTAAATTTGGAATTATTGGTGATACCGCCAGTTTATTGTTGGGTTGAAAATGTTAAACTATATTACGATGAAATTACTCGAACAACTCACAATACACCAGGAGTTGATATACGTGTTCCTGGATGGGGTGATCCTGAGGTGGTTGAATGGATAGATCCTACACATAATAAAGCTGGGGCCTACTTTAAAGATATAGCAAATGTGTTAGTTGATTTGGGCTATGAACGAAAAAAGAATATACATGGAGCACCATATGACTTTCGAAAAGGACCAAGTATGCCTTTAATGTACAATTATAAGTACATTCTATGTTTTTATTTATTTTGCTCTAGGTGAACATCGTCAATTTTTCATTGATTTAAAAAAACTTGTTGAGGATTCATATGAACGAAACTCAAAATCGCCTGTTACGTTCATATCTCACAGTATGGGCAGTCCAATGACATTAGTGTTTCTCCACCAACAGACTACGGAATGGCGGAAAAAATACGTAAAGCGACAAATAAGTTTAGCCGGAGCATGGGCGGGTAGTATGAAAGCCCTTAAGGTGTTTGCAATGGGTAAGTGATTAAAAAAATTAGTATATAGCTTCTGAAGGGTCCTAAAGATTATTGTATTTAGTATTAGCTTCAAAATCTATAACGCTGCAAATCCTAAAATAGGTAATAATTACAAAATATTATTTTTACAGGTGATGATTTGGACTCGTTTCTTCTCAGTGGAAAAATTTTGAAGGAAGAACAAATTACGAATCCCTCTACGGCGTGGTTACTTCCCTCGCCGCTCTTTTGGCGACCTTCGGAGGTCTTGGTAGAAACCCCTTCACGCGTTTATACAATGTCACAACTGAAGCAATATTTCGACGATATTGATTATTCCGTTGGTTGGCATATGCGAGCAGACAATATGCAATTCACATTAAATTTCAGTCCGCCAGAAATAGAACTGCACTGTCTGTACGGGGACGGTTTGGACACAGTTGAGCGGTAAGTTGAAATATTTCTGGATGCCAAATTTAATACATACATACATACATATACCCTATTAAACATTATTTTATTTCCGCCTTAGTTTACAATACAAAAAGGATATTATCATTGATGAAACACCCAAATTGATAATGGGAAAAGGTGATGGAACAGTAAATCAGCGGTCCTTACGTGCTTGTCATGCATGGATCGATCGACAAAGTGCCAATATCACAAACGTTGCTTTAAATGGGGTGGACCATATGGGTGTACTTGCACACAAAGATGTATTGAATTATATAAAAAATGTTATGCAGACCTAGCTTCTTCAAAACAAATCTATAAAATTTTTACTTATTATTTTTTACTTACTATCTGGACATGTGAATTGTTAAACACGTTTTTTCTAAATTTTATTTTGGATGACTACGTGGTTTT